GAATTAAATTATTTTTTTTTCATATGAAGAGCAAAAAAAAAAAAAACCTCCCATAATCTTTCACCCCCTAAAAAGTCACTTTAAAAACCCCCGCTTTTTTGATACAAGTTAACCCGGCCCCTACCACACTATACTATATAGTTTCTCCCTTCTATTTTAACCAACCCCTTGACCCAGCCCCAACCTAAAGTAGGACTATATTATTATTTATTATAAATCTAATCTAGTACTCCCTTACCAAACCCAAACCCAAATTTTATATGATTAATTACATTTAATTACAGTGGATTATCATATTTGATCATTTATTTATTAATTAATATCCTTGATTAAGATTAAATAATTAATACTGGTAAACTTTGCTATATATAAATAATGTTAAATGAAAATTATGGTATCTTTAACTTTGCTTTCAAAATAACTTAAAAAAAAAATTCTTACCTTTAAATGAAGAGGATTCTGATTGAAAATACTTCATATTAAAAACTAATTTGAGTTTATAATATTTGAGAATTAATTAATTTATAGGTTATGCTTCTTATTAAATTTGAATTAGGAGCCTATTTATAATTTATTTTCAATAAAAATCCTAAAATTATAAAATTTTGAACTCTTGAAAGATAATATTTCCAAGATTAACTAAGTTTATTGTATCGTTTAGAAACAACTATTATTAGGTTAATTTTGTAAGATTAGTAGGATAGTTATTTAAGAAATAAAGAATATTTATTTTTTGGATCAAAAAAAGGAAGTAACTTTCAGCTAATATTCAAATTATATATTGAATGTTAAGTTTTTATATTTAGTTTAAGTATATTGTATGGCATAGTGAACTATAAAATTTATAACTAAATTGATTGAAAGAATCAAATTTAAATAATAGAAACTGATTATTTAATGAATTATACTAATATCTACGAGAAAATGATAACAGAATTTTAATTTAACACTAAAATTTAATTAGCTAGAAAAACCTGATGAATTTAATTTATGATTGCATCAAGAATAAATTTTTTAGATTTGATTATCTCAGATTGTAGGAACTAAATATTGATTTATAGGTTGAATATGATTGAATTTATTAATAAAATATCATAGAAAATTGAAATAATTACAATAAGAGATACAATCCTTGGATTTTACATTGATATCGTCATATTAAATATATTTGTTATAAATCAGAAAAGATACACTTAATTTAAAAATCTTAAAATATGAATTAACAAACAAGTTTGAATAGATATTTTTATCAATTATTAGAAGACAGATCAGTTAGATAATATGATTCCTGTGATTCTATAGATATTAATAAAGAAAAGAACACATTAATAGCATCAGTTAAGACTCTAAAAAGGTTTGTATAGAGTAGGTTAGAGAAAAATTTTGATGTTATTTATTTTAAATATGAAGAAACCAAAGAATTTAATCAAGGGTTATTGACTGAAATCCAAGATTTTCACTTGCGATATTTTTCAAGAATGAACATTTATTCATCAAATCACATTGTTTAATAAATCAAATATTCTTTTATAAAAAAAGACTATGAAGAAAGTTTTATTATTATTATGAATATATTTAAAATAGAATGTATTATAATAATAGTAGTAATAGGGGATCATAAGAGTTATGTAAAAAGTCTCAAAAGACGTTAAAGTTACATAATTACATTGATTTTTCATCCAACAATTAAAATCATGTTTATATCTGCTTGTAATGAATTATATAATTCTTCTAATACACTGGTTTAGTGTTGGCAGAATAACAGAAATTGATTAAATATTTGGAATTTCAATTAATCAAAATGGAACTTAAATAATTTCATTTAGTGAGAACCATCTGATACATATAATCGAGTATTAATAATCAACATTACAACAAAACGATAATTAATCTTGGTTATTAATATAAACTATTAATTGAAAATAGTGGGGCTTTAGAATAGAATTGATCTATAATAGAATATAGATTCCTGTCAAAGGAGGAGGTCAACTATGCATGGATAATTTTCCATTCCTTATATTATCAACCTAAATTAATTACTCTTATGAAGAAGGGTAATTACATCAGTTTATTAAAATACAAAGATGAATAAATATATAAATTAGCTTTCGTTTGGTATCACTGAATTATTTGTAAGTTGAGTGATGATGGAAAATATTGAATTACTCGGATAAGAAATCAAGATATATTTAGATGAGAATATACACTGATTAAATAACAATAAATAAGAGAATGATAATATGAAATTTATAAAACATTAATTATTTTGATACTTCAATCATATAAGCATTGTATAGTTTTATCAAAAATTTTTTATTCAGATTAATTGCTTATATAAAACTTATTCTATAGTGAATTGCAAATGATATAAAATTTTAGAGATATAAAAATATCAGAAAATAGTAGCCTCAAGAGAAATATAAATAATTGTAAAACTTTAAGATTTTGAAGGTTTAATAATATGATTTTCATTTACTCATATTGAATAAAATAGTTGTTTTTAATAAAGAACTAAATTAATTATTAAAAATATTATTGTCAAATTCATAGGATAGATAGAAAAGTAAAGAGGAGGAGTTATGATTTTTCAATTAATTTCATGAAAAATACTTTCAAATAAAAAATTAGAAAAGATTATTTAAAATAGGTTTTGTATTTGTTATTACTTTTATTAATTAGAAGGGATCAAGGTTTTTGCTACTAAACATGTAATGAAATGGTGGAATAATATTCTCTTAATAATATAAAGAGTCAACAATCTATGCTTTCGTTAAGTTTATTCAGTTGGACTCAATCTAAACTCTTTTTAGGTGAATTGGAGGACTAAATTTACTAAATAATTTTGGCTAGATCAAAAAATGAATTAAGNAATAGGGGATCATAAGAGTTATGTAAAAAGTCTCAAAAGACGTTAAAGTTACATAATTACATTGATTTTTCATCCAACAATTAAAATCATGTTTATATCTGCTTGTAATGAATTATATAATTCTTCTAATACACTGGTTTAGTGTTGGCAGAATAACAGAAATTGATTAAATATTTGGAATTTCAATTAATCAAAATGGAACTTAAATAATTTCATTTAGTGAGAACCATCTGATACATATAATCGAGTATTAATAATCAACATTACAACAAAACGATAATTAATCTTGGTTATTAATATAAACTATTAATTGAAAATAGTGGGGCTTTAGAATAGAATTGATCTATAATAGAATATAGATTCCTGTCAAAGGAGGAGGTCAACTATGCATGGATAATTTTCCATTCCTTATATTATCAACCTAAATTAATTACTCTTATGAAGAAGGGTAATTACATCAGTTTATTAAAATACAAAGATGAATAAATATATAAATTAGCTTTCGTTTGGTATCACTGAATTATTTGTAAGTTGAGTGATGATGGAAAATATTGAATTACTCGGATAAGAAATCAAGATATATTTAGATGAGAATATACACTGATTAAATAACAATAAATAAGAGAATGATAATATGAAATTTATAAAACATTAATTATTTTGATACTTCAATCATATAAGCATTGTATAGTTTTATCAAAAATTTTTTATTCAGATTAATTGCTTATATAAAACTTATTCTATAGTGAATTGCAAATGATATAAAATTTTAGAGATATAAAAATATCAGAAAATAGTAGCCTCAAGAGAAATATAAATAATTGTAAAACTTTAAGATTTTGAAGGTTTAATAATATGATTTTCATTTACTCATATTGAATAAAATAGTTGTTTTTAATAAAGAACTAAATTAATTATTAAAAATATTATTGTCAAATTCATAGGATAGATAGAAAAGTAAAGAGGAGGAGTTATGATTTTTCAATTAATTTCATGAAAAATACTTTCAAATAAAAAATTAGAAAAGATTATTTAAAATAGGTTTTGTATTTGTTATTACTTTTATTAATTAGAAGGGATCAAGGTTTTTGCTACTAAACATGTAATGAAATGGTGGAATAATATTCTCTTAATAATATAAAGAGTCAACAATCTATGCTTTCGTTAAGTTTATTCAGTTGGACTCAATCTAAACTCTTTTTAGGTGAATTGGAGGACTAAATTTACTAAATAATTTTGGCTAGATCAAAAAATGAATTAAGTATAATCATTAATGATCTGGAAAGAAACTATAGCGGAGCAAAAGGAAAGTTATAAATGCACTTTTGAGAATTCTAAATTTGAACTTAAGAAACAATTTATTGTATATTTATAACCTTTATTTTTTCTTAACCAAATACAAGTGGAACCCTTTAAATTTCAAGTAATGGATATTCCTTTAATGATTATTAATGAACTGAAAAGGTTTTAAATCTTACTATTTAGGGATAGGCTTTTAAATAGAAAGGTATATGTAGGAGAAATAATATGTGAAATTATGTATTGAAAAATCTTTCACTTATATAGAAAAATATAAGAAGGACTAATTAGATTATATCAGATCGAGTATGATAAAGTCCTTATTTAGATGCTATGATTAATGAGGTTATCATCTATTTATTAAATAATATTAATAATTTATAATTAATTAAATAATTTATAAAATAACATTATTAAACAAATGATCTAAAGAGAATAAAATTTGAATAATTAATTATGCCTTATTTTTATAAACAAGATTGATTAATTGTTTAAATAAGTTTTATCTTAAATTATTTATTATAGAATTTACCGATCTGATTGTTGAAAAAAAGAATGATAAAAAAACCATTTTATAATAGAGTAAAATAATAAGAGAAAGAAAGCAATTTTTAATGTTAATCTAAAATCAAGAATATCTGTATGTAGAAAATCCTATATCAATTAATTTTTTTTGAAATACATCTTTTTTAGTGAATAATTACAGTTGATGATAACAAAATGATGAATATTCAGATATCGATTATCTATTATTAAGAAATTATCAATCTTTATAATTATTGTGTAGTTAATTATATATATATAAATTATTGGTTTGAAATTATCAGAATTTCAAAGTAATAATATTTTCATTTATTAGCTTTAAATAACTTCTAACCTTCTTGATTAAGAATTACATGATTATCATTAAGATTAAATTCTTAATTATTAAAATCCAATATTTGATCATGTCTCTATACATTCTTCCAAATTAGTTAAAAATAAAATTCATTTTTTGAATGTACAGGAATCTGGTTAAATTAGGTAACTTACTTAATTATTAACTAACTGAATTTTTTGAAATTTATTTTAATTGCAAGATTTCTAAACTGGAGTTTAATTCATTGATGTAAAAGGAGAGATATTGTTAAAATTTATAAAGTTTTCTTAATCCTTAATTTAGAATTGCTTAATATAACCCTTTCTTTTTTAATTTTCTTGATAAAATATTGAAAAGTCTTTTAATATAGTCAAAATTTGATTTGAGTTTGGATTTAATTATTCAATATTAAACTCACACCCTGGAGTGCCCTTTGCCTGCTTTCTAATTAGTAAGGTAGAAAGATTGAAAAATATAAAGGATAGACTATTTTTAATTAAAATTCTTTGAATATTTGAAAGGATAAACTAAAGACTAGCTATTATACATAAACATCATAAAACACTAATGTCTTCACTTACTGAAAGAACAGTTTAAAGAAAAATTTTACATATATAATTTGCATAAATAGTATTTAATTTTACAATCATCTTAATATAATTCAGAAATAAATTAAGATATAAAGTATGAGTTAGACTTCTTTATCGAAACAATCTCAGTTTAAGGATAATTATATAATACTAACAGATGAATATTATGGAGAAGGTTGCTTTGGGTAAGTATATTCATGTCGAAAGATTGATAATACAGATCCAACAATTTATTGTGTTAAAATCATTCCTATAAATTAAGAGATTCATAACACAACCCAGTAAAGTGAAATTGAGGATATTATTAAAACAACAAATATCTGAATTAGACAAAAATAGCCTCTATTAAATAAATTTAGTTTAAATATTTGACATTTTTTATGAAGGTTACTTTATATATATTGTAATGGAAAAATGTGATGAAGATTTATAAATAGAATTTGATAAAATGAATGAAAATAATGAATGGTATACTGAAGAATAAGTTTTAGACTTGATACAAAAAATAATAACAGGTTAACATTAATTGCATTATTTAAAAATAATACATTAAGATATTAAGCCAGAGAATATACTGATTAAATATGAAAATAAAGGATAAGTAAATGAGAGAAAAATATATAAAGTATAAACTAAAAATACATATCTAAGATTTCAGACTATGGTATTGGAAGATTGATTAAAGAGCTTACAAAAAAAAATGATTTGATTAGAACAGGAACTCCAAATTATTCAGCACCTCAAATGTTTGAGAATCATATAGCTACAGAAAAAAGTGATATTTTTTCACTTGGAGTTTTATTTTATTAGATATGTCATAAATCCTAACTACCTTACGATTGTAGTTCAATGTAAAAAAGATATTAAAGTTTGTAAAATTTAAAAACCAATAGTTTTTAAGCTCCTCTTCTTCCTTACAATAAAGGGAATATATTTAATAATCTAATTTAGAGGATGATCGTATACAGAGAGGATGAAAGAATTTAATTTTAAGATATAATCCACCATTCTGTAATGAAAGCTCGAGGTATAGAAGATACTGTGGTGTTTAATAATGAGAGTACAAGCTTTTAAAGCGAAAAATTTTATGATAAATCATAATATTTAGAAAAAAGAAGAGTAGGTTCAATTTTATCAAGATTAAAGCGATTACAAAGCTTATTGGAGTTATTTTATAATAGATTCAAACTTTGTAATTATTTTATCACTCAAATTAATAATGATGAGAATTTTTTTATAATTAAAATTGAATGTGTATTTAATTGCAATTTATCAATTACAATATGCACTAGCTTTGATTTATATTCGTCCTTTCGAAATGCATCTGAATACATTAGAGGAAAATGATATATTAATATTAATTGATAAATTAAGTAAAATTTAAAAAGCAATTAAAAACTTTTAAGCAGAAGATGTTACAAAAAACAAATATTTAGAAAAATAAATTTAGGAAGAATATCATAAATTCAAAAAATAATTTTATTCATTTTCTAATATCCTTCATTCAAAATTCTTAAATAAAACTTCTTTTGAAGATTCTTAATTTTTTCATAAAGCTTTGATGAGCAAAATCAAATTGTAGGTTTTAGTAAGCAATATAACAAAATTAAAAAAAACTATGTCAGGAATGTTATCCAAAGATTTATAAGATCTATTAGATTAGATAATTAAACTTGAAACCCTATTTCCAGTAAACACTTATAAAAGTGATATCGATCTAACATTACTCTTCTCCATCAACATTTAATAAACCGATGCATGATTTGCAAATTTATTAATCTCTTTATCAAATTGTTATTTATCTATATATTGATAAATAATAAAACAATATTGTTATTTTTAATTATTATTAAACAATATCTACAATAAATAATATTTTATATTGATTAAATTAGATTTTTATATTTAATAAATATTGCTTAAGTCAACAGACCACTAAATTCTCTTAGTTCTAAATGAGAGAATTTCAGATGAGCTAAAGGAATGATAAAGATAAATGGAGAATCTTTAAATTATAACTTGCCATAGGTTGTTAAAGAAAATGGCTCCTAATAAGATTTGTTTATTCAATTAATTGAAATTCAAGAAAGATCTTTATTATATAAACTTCATTTTAAACTAGTAAGAAGTTAATCAAAAAACTAAATTTTAGATTAAATAAAGTCATAATTGACAATCAGTTAAAAAAAAAGCAAACTTATGTTGTTTTAATTTTTTAGGTAAAATCTAGATTATATTCATCAATTAAGATTTTCTAAAATTTTTGTGTAAAATCTTTTTTTTTTATAAAAAATTTCTTCATAAAACCTTAAAATGGAAAATGAATCTTTATGAAAAAGTACTTAACATGGAATAAGATCTTTCATATTATAATTTCTGACTTATACACAAATTAGATATATTTAAAACTCCTAATATTATAATTTTAGAGATTTTTTAAACATTTGGTTAGAATATTTTATCCTAAGTTTAATGAATATGAAAAATTGTAATAGGCTATGAATTCACTAATTTGTGATTGTAATAAAGCAATAGTTTATTGGTATAACTTTATAATAAATTTCAGTAACTATTTGTTTTTAATCTTATATCATATGATGGATTTAATTTTATAGTTTTATCATAACATAATTTAGCTTCTTCATCTATTTTCAAGTTTTTTAAATAAAAGAATTTTCAAAACAAGGTAATATAAAAATAATTATTATTTAAATATGATTTAGCATGATTGGGTTCAACTGAAATAACTTTATCAAAACACAAAATTGCTTGGTTATTTCTTTTAAGTGAGTTTATTCTTAAATTATCTTAATAGATTCTAAAAAAATTCCTAATTATGACCAAAATATACCCTGATTATAATATGTAGATAAATAATTAGATTTAAAAAGATTTTTGATCATTACTAGTTAGAGCTTCTTCATATCTATAAAGATCAACTAAAGTTATGCCTATATATTGTAACTATTTATGAGCTTCTATTATAATTTGCTAAATAATTCTTTAGAATAATCTTTATCGACAAATCATAACATTTAATAGCTTCTTAATTATTTTACAAATCTTATAAGCATCCACCTAACTAAATTATAATTCCTACCTTTAATAAATAAAGCTATTACAAAAGAGTTATCAATATTAAATGCATTGTCAAAAAATTCAATTGATTCTTCAAAGTATCGTTGTTTTTCTTTAGAGTCACCCCTCATAATTTATAGACATTCAAAGGCCTTTTTAAATTAAGAGCAAGCACATAGTTGGCATTGATTTGTAAAACTTGATCTATTAACGGTATTGCTTCTTTTGTCTAATCCTAATTTACAAATGATAAGTTATAATATTAGACTTAAACTAAAAACTTTGCTAATATTTAATGTTAAATGAAGATTTTTTATATAAGGCTTGAATATTTAGTTAGTCTGATTATAAGATCTAATCGCAAATCCGAATTGCTTCTTCAAAATTGTTTCGATCCTCTAGAGCCAAATCTTTAAATTATATGTTCCATTATAGATTTAATGATTAAATTGATAAATTTATTGGAGTTATCATTCTCTTTTTCAATTAATCTATTTCTTTAGATATATCTTCAATTAAAATGCCCTTTTTCTTTAATGATATTTCTTTTTGTTTAATTCCTTTGCCCAATTAGTTTAATTCCATTATTCATTTATAAATTTTAATTCACGCATAAAAACATTAAAAAATTAAGATAGGAAAGTATATTCTTAATTTAGATAATTCTTTATTCTAAAATAATATGTGCTTCTTCCAGTTTTAATTCTTTAGTATTCTTTAAAGGTTTTATAAAAATGCTTTAGTTCAATCTCAAAACATTTTAAATTCAAGTACCTTTTTTAATTTTAAAAATATAACTATATTTTTTATGTTCTAAACAATATAATTAATTATTATTTAGATTTTCTAAAGCATTTAGTAGTTGAAATGCTTTGAATAATAAAAATAAAAATTTATATAAACTTTAATCCTTAACGTAACAACCTCTAATTCTTTAGATATTAAAAAATTCTTCTATTTATGACAACAAATTATCTTCTAAAACATTATTCTCTAGACTGGAAATAATATCATTTAATCTAATGATGTTCTCACTTAATAATTGAGTAATATGTTCAACTGTAATCTATAGCTGATGAGATTAATCTTGTAAATTATTGATTATCGATAATGTATTATTCTTCAATTAAGTGACTGCAATTTTTATATATTATTATTATAAGGCATTAGAATCCTTATTTGCAATGGTAAAATCTAAATTATTTATATCCATAAATAATTTTATATGGTATTTCAAAGTTTCTTTACAATCACTATCTGTACTTTGAATCATAAACAAATTTATATTCAGATTATATATACTCATATTGAAATAGAATTATAGTTTTTCATAAATAAATTATTATAAGATATTCTGTTCATATAATTAATCAATCAAGTATTTGTAGATTATCTATCTTAAACTTATGTGAATTACAAATACATTATAATATTTATTAATTACATTCATATTTCATATTACTACTATCAAAATCGAAAAACCAATAATATTTAGAGGAGGTGATATCTTTCTTAATTCAGCATTATTCTAGTTTTTTGACAAGCTAAATTTAAATTAATTTCCATAAGTTTAAGTTAATGTCAGTTAGTAATAGGATTACATGATCAAAAAAGTCTTACTTTTGCTCATTAATCGATTAGTTTCAGTAAACAAAATTTTTATCCATTAAAAAATAGTCAATTCTACATCCATATTTTTCATCTCAATCTAAATAAGTAAAATTTGGAAGCGCTTAACATATGTAGAATCTATATGGTAACCAAATTATTGAAAAATTAACAAGTTCCCACCTATAATCTTAACACTAATTTCAATTTTGTTTTAAAGTAAATAAAAGCATTATTGCTTGCACTACTAAATATTTTATATTAATGGTCATTTCTAATATAGGTTTTTCAATATAGATTGCAACTAGCTCTTTAAATATTATATAATAATATAAATGAAATATTTATTTTTATTTGTAAAATTCTAGCCTTGGAAATAATATTGGAGAATCGATTAAGCTTTAGAAAATTTCTTCTTTAATCTTACAAAAATCCATAAAATGATTATTTTAATCCTATAATATTAATTTTATGAAACTTAATATCAAAAATAAATATTTTGGTCTCATTAACGCATTTTATGATTTTTTTTAATTGGTCTGCGAAATTTTAACACTTAAGTATACTTATTGTTGGTTTAACTATAAATTTTTGTCCAAAAATATTCTTGTTTAAACTTATTGAGATTTAATTAACATATTGATATTATTCTTAATAATCTCTGCTTTTCCTTCAGAGTGCTAGTTTAATACTATAGCATAATTGTCTCCATTTCTAACAAAATATTTATATCTCTTAAACTTATTTGTAAATTAATTTCATTCTTGAAAAATAAAAATGAATTTATGGCTGTAACATTTTTAGATCAACAATTCTTGATGCCATAGGAACCCTTCATTAAGATAGTAAAAAAATCTAAGATTAATAATAAAAAAATATTCTCATAAATCTTACCCGTTTATTATATTAATTTAAATTATTAAAGATTTTATTTTAAATCAGCGATGCAAATAAATTATTTCAAATCAAATTTAACAAATCAATAATAATCTCTTATTAAACATATTATGTAAAAATTAATTTCATCCTATGATGTTATAAATTCTTTCAACTAATTTCAAAAATCGTTGTTTATAGAGCAAAAATAAAAATTACACTCTTTGACTTTGCAAATGGAAGAATGTTCAATCTATAAGTTGAATATGGTTTACATTCTTGAAAATTAAAAAATATAGAAAATGCATAGTGGAAAAGCATTCTTAATTTAAAAAAAAACAAGACAAAATTTATAGACATTTCTTCTTTGGATGTTCTAATGTTGTGGAAAATTCTATTAAGCTAAAAGAAGTAGAATATTATCAGCTATAAATATTAGAGAGAAAGATTTGAATGAAAATTTTTCCTTCAATTAATCTTTTTCAATTTTCTAAAATTAAAATCTTCTGATTTCATTTTTATTGTATATATCTTCTTTAATAAACTATATTTGAGGAGATAATTTTAAGAATTCTAAATAATGCAAATAAGTTAAAATAATTGTAGACAAAAAATAATGATTAGAAAGATGATTTTTTTGTGTATTCTATAAAATTTTCCCTATATATATTTAAAAATCATTCTCATCACAACATAAGATATCCTAAAACGATAGACAATCCAAGAATGTATCCTGAGTCTGTTGTTGTGTTATTATCTGTTGTGTTGGTATTATTGTCTGTGGTATTTGGTTAAACTACAACTGCTGTGCAAACTCCACATTTACTTGATGAAGCATTCCAAGTATATGTATATCCAGAAACTAAGAAGCAATCATTAGAAGATAATGTTGATGGATCTGTTGCTGTGCAGGCTCCGCTTACTAGAGTACAAATTTATTGAGTCTTTTTATCCCAATTTAAGAATCTTGTGCAGGCTCCGTTGGTAGCTTAATTTGTAGCACAAGTATGAGTAGCACATTTACTAGCAACTGCGGTTGCTCCAGTTCCTGAAGCAGCAGTCCAAGAACATCTATCTCTGGCAGCTTAGCAGGCTGTTTAATCATTATTAGCAACAGTACATGCAGTCATTAATGCACAAGATCCAGTTCCAGCAGCAGCTCCAGTTGCTGTTGATTAAGTGAATACACAAATTCCATCCAAACCTCCTGAATTACATGCTATCTTAGATGTATATGTTGAGCAATTGGCTTTTGTAATGCATGCAGTTCCATTTGAAACACAAGTTGACAAGGCTACAGAACAAACATTGGTTGCTGTTCCATTTTGAATATCAGCACAAGTAAGTAATCTACATTTTGCAGTATTATTATTTGTAGCAGATGCTAATTCCCAGTAGCATGCTCCATCTGATCCAACTGCTGTTGTGCAAGCAGTTTAAGTTGTGTAAGATGTACAGGCTCCTTTAAGTAAACAAGTAGTTCCATCTGATGTGCAGGTAGATAATTATGAAGAACATGTTGCATGAGTTGTGCCTGTCAAATCAGCACAAGATTAATCTCTACAACTACTTGATGTAGTATCCCATGTACAAATACCAGTGGATGTAATAACTCCAGATGTATATAGAGTTCCCTTATCGTTGAAGTAACATCCAGCCTAAGCAGTATATGATGAGCATGATCCTAAAGCTATGCAACCAGTTGTTCCATTGGTTGTGCACTTACTACTAGCAATTTAACAATCTGAATGAGTTGTGTAGAAAGCATCAGCGCATGAGGTGTAAGGTTTACATACTTTTGGATCTGAAGAATTCAAGGCTGGTACTGATTGAATACAAGCTCCGTCATATCCAGTGACACAACCTCCATCAGTGTTAGTTTCTGAACATAAAGTAATTCCTACACAATTTGAACCATTAGTTGTGCATTTATTACTAATCCATTTGCATGAACTATCATTATTCCAAGTTAAACTCTTGCATGATGTATATCTGAAACAAGCCCCGTTAGTTCCATCAGTATTTGGATATTTATCAATCCACAAGCATGGTCCATTTATTCCTTCGATGCAAGCTGCTCTTACTGAAGTTTGTTCGCAATTTTATACTCTAGCACATTTTCCACTAGCTCCAGCTGTACATCCAGCTCTTTAAGCCTAACATGCAGCATGAGTAGTTCCACTGAAATCTTAGCAATCTTTATCTCTGCATTTATTTTATGCACTATCCCAAGCACATACAGTACCATTTAAAGCAGTTGTGCAAGCTACATCAATAGTGACAGCTGAACAAGTTGATTTAGTAACACATCCTCCACCATTCTTTGTTGTACAATTTGTAAAATATCCAGCGCAGGCAGCTTCACTTGTTAAAGTGATTGGAGCAGTGCTACAATTTTTAATTGTACAGTAAGCAGGTGAAGTGATTACATTTGCAGCATTTAAAACAGCTGGTATCCATTCACATTATTAATTTGTTGAGGATGTGACGCATCCAGCTTGACTTAAGGCTTAGAAGCATGTTCCTCTTGTAACACAATTTGTTCCATTTGTTGTGCAGGTAGAGATAGCTTGTTTGCATAAAGCATCAGTAGCAAAGGCAAAATCTTCACAAATTTTAGTTTTACATTTAACATTATCTAAAGTACATCCAGCTAAATAGGTATTACATTCATCAGCAGTAGCAGTTGCATCAGGAGCATTGTCACATGATTTTGTAATACAAGCTGTTCCTGTCCAATAGCAAGGATCTCCAGCTTTATTATAATAACATTGCTTCTATGTCATAGTTTCACATGTTGCAGGAATTTCTACGCATCCTTATCCAGAATCTGAGACTGTACATTTATTAGTAATGTAAGCTCTACATTTAGTATCATCATCATAATCTGCAGTTGCAGGAGCAGTAGCACAAGATTTGTCAGCACATTATGTTCCATTCCATCCACATGGATCACCATTGGCGTTTATTTAACATTATTCTTTATCAATATAACTTGAACAAGCAGCAGTCTATTAACATCCTCCTAATGTTGGGTTACCACCACTATTGCTTGGAGTGGCAACGACCGTGCATTTTACTGTTGCAGTATTGTAGTATGCATAGCAATCATTATGAGTTGTAGTGGATGTTGGAGCACTTGTACAAGACTTATCTTAACAGGCAGGTGCTGGTAAATTAGCATTTGTATTCCAAACACAAACACCGTTACTTGCATTTGTTTTACATTGTTCTTCAATTGTATATGAACTGCATGCTCCTCTAGCCATACACCCTTAAACGGCAGCTCCATTTGTTGCTCTGACTGTGCAAGCAAGTGTTGCATCAACAACAACACATTCATTATGAGTATCGTATAAAGTTGAAGCTTCTATGTTGCCGCAATTCAAATCAACACATGTCTTATTAGTTGGATTCCAAAAACATTTTCCACCACTAGTATTAAATTTACATTAGAGTGAAGATTTGTAAGTAGCACAAGCTGCTCTAGCTTGGCAAGCTCCTAATCTAGCAACAGTACAAGATTGCTAATAAGTTGAACATTCAGTGTCATCATCTCGAGTAGCATCAGTTGCTGCAGTATCACAAGTCTTTCGTACGCATGATGTACCTACTACTACACATTCTCCTTCAACTGAGTAAAGGCAAGAGGCTTGAGTTTAATCTGCACATTTAGATGCCATAGTTTGGCATGCACTGTTTCCAGAATTTACAGTACAGGTGTTGAGATAACTATTGCAATTTGTATGATTAAATGTAACCACAGCATTTGAACAAATTTTTGCTACGCATGCAGTTGCTCCATTATTTGTACATCCAGCCTTCATTTCATTACAATTTGCGCTGCTGTAATTTCCTGTTCCTAAATATACTGCATCACAAGTTGTTGCAACTGATGCAGCTACGCAAGCAGTATCTGTATTTGTACTAGCAATACAAAGACCAGCTCCTGATTTATAACAACTTGTCATTGCACTTGTATATCCTGAACATTATGCTTATTATTAGACACAAGCACTCCTTGCTCTATTTACACTACAACCTGTATTATACGATTAGCAAATTTCATAAGTTATAGCCCCAACAGCTCCAGTTATTTTAGCACAATCGGTTGCAACATTTGAAATTGTGATACAATTAGAACCTTATAAATAACATTTTGAGGTAGCAGTTTTTGTGCAACTTAAAGCTGTGCCTGCATATTACTCGCAAGTTGATTTCAAGTCTTAACATTTGCTTTCATCAGAAACGGATGTACAACCTGTGCTGTAGGCTTAACATTTAGCATGATCAAGCCCTGATGCTATAATTGTACTACAATTTACATCAGTGATGGGATAGCAAGAGTTATCAACCCAAACACATGAAAGAGAGCCTGTTGATTATGTAGCGCATTTATTTTATGTGGTATATAACCTGCAGTTGGCCTTCTCTTCTTAACAACCAGTACCATCTTTTAGATTGGTACAACCTGCATTATATGTTGCACATATAGCATCTGTAAGACCAGTTCCAGTAATATATGCACATTCTGTAGCAACATTGGCATTTGCAATTGTGAGACAAGCTGTTCCGCTCCATGCACAAGGACCTGCATCGGATACTGAGCAAGTTGCCTATACCCCAGCGTATGTAGCACATAGGGCTTCTTTTTTTTGACATGCTGTACCAGCTCTGTTTACTGTACACTTAGCATTATATGTTGCGCATATAGCATTTGTAAGACCAGTTCCAGTAACATATGGACACTCTGTAACAATATTGGCATCAATAATTGTGAGACAAGCTGTTCCGCTCCATGCACAAGGACCTGCATCTGATACTGAGCAAGTTGCCTATACCCCAGCATATGTAGCACATAGGGCTTCCTTTTTTTGACATGCTGTACCAGCTCTGTTTACTGTACATTTAGCATTATATGTTGCGCATATAGCATTTGTAAGACCAGTTCCAGTAACATATGGACACTCTGTAACAATATTGGCATCAACAATTGTGAGACAAGCTGTTCCGCTCCATGCACAAAGACCTGCATCGGATACTGAGCAAGTTGCCTATACCCCAGCGTATGTAGCACATAGGGCTTCTTTTTTTTGACAAGCTGTACCAGCTCTGTTTACTGTACACTTTGCATTATATGTTGCGCATACATCATTTGTAAGACCAGTTCCAGTAACATATGGACACTCTGTAACAATATTGGCATCAATAATTGTGAGACAAGCTGTTCCGCTCCATGCACAAGGACCTGCATCTGATACTGAGCAAGTTGCCTATACCCCAGCATATGTAGCACATAGGGCTTCCTTTTTTTGACATGCTGTACCAGCTCTGTTTGGTGCACACTTTGGATTATATGTTGAGCATATACTACTTGTTATAGCAGTTCCAGTAACAAATGCACAATCTGTAGCAAGATTGGCATCAACAATTGCTATACAAGCACTACCACTCCATACACAAAAACTTGCATTTGCCACAGTACAAGAATTTTGTGTTAAATAAGCACTGCATGTTGTTAATTTTTCTTAGCAAGCTGTTTAATTAGCATTTGCCACACAACCTACGTCATAAGTTCCACACTTAACATTGGTTAATCCAGTTCCAGTAATTGAAGCACAATTAACAAAACGCAAGCAATCAGTAGCATCATCAAAACATTTACCTTAAACAGAGTTAGCACAAGCGTTTCCAGTTGCATAACCTGAGCAAGTAGTCTGATACTCTTAACATCCAGTGCCGTCTTTTAAGGATGTACAAGAAGAGTGATATAATTAACACTTCGAATGATCCAAACCTGATAATCCAGTAACTAAAGCACATTCAGAGGCTTAAGTCACTGATTGGCAATTTGTGTTCAATGCACAATATCCTGCATTTCCACTTGCACTTGACCTGAAACAATTAGCTGCTGTCGATCCGTATCCAGCACAAGTAGATTATATTACAATACAACCAGTGCCATCTTTTTTGACTGAACATGTAGAATCTAATGCTTAGCAATCTGCAAATGTCAAACCTGATCCTGTTTTTAAAGTACAATCTAAAGTACAAGATGCTGAAGATGCTGCACTTACAGTGTTTGTACATCCTGCTCTATATCCCATACACATTGTTTGAGTACCTTTGAATGTTGAGCAAGATCCTGTAGCAAAAGAGGACAATGCATAACATCTATCAACAATCCACTTACAATCATCATTTGCTGTTAGATTTGTGAGAGTTTTATGGCATTAAGCTGATGTCATATAATCTGAGCAATTAGCTGATTTTGATACACATCCTTAAGCTCCAACTTTGTAGACAACTGTACAGGTTTCGCTTGGTGTTGGGTAAGCTAAGCATTCTGAATCACTATCATAAGAAGTATTATCGGGAGCATCAGCACAAGTGGCATTTCTACAAGCTAATCCAGTCCAAACACAATTCTTATTAGTTGATGTAAATTTACAGTTTTCTTATGTTGAATAAGATGTGCAGGCAGTTGCCAATGTTTAACATGCTGTTCCTCCATTATTCACTGTGCATTAATTGAATGTAGTATTACAATTGAAGTGAGAAGTTAAGGTAATATTTGCACAAGTTCTATCAACACAACTACTGCCATTCCAATAACAATCTCCACTTGCTTTAGATCCTATTTAACAATTGGATGAAACTAATGATGAACAACTAGATGGTTTAGCTGTGCATCCATCAGCAGTATTATTTGAAATACAAGTATTTAGATAAGTTGAACAACCAGAAAAAGTAAATCCTCCTGCAGAGAGTGCTCCTGTTGTTCCCACTGTACTAGCAGTGGCACATGATTTTTCAACACATGAAGTAGAAGATGAAACCCATAAACATGTTGGGAATCCAACTCTAGAGATTTCACAATTTTCTGATGATTTTCTAGCCGCGCATGTTGTTGGTAAATCTTAACATCCTTAAATTGTCAAGGAACCATTAACAGTTACAGGATTATTAGCAACACAAGTTGATATGTGTCCTGTGCATTATGAAGTTGTAGTGAATGTCTTAGAGGCAGTTGAGCAAGCTTTATCAATACATTAAGATCCATTCCATCCGCATGGTTAACCATTAGCTTTTAAATTGCAAGCAGCTTCAATTGTGATGGCTTCGCATTTAAGTGGTAGTGGAACACATCCAGTGCCTGAATTGCTCAAGGTACATGTAGAGTGATAGATTTAACAGTCAGCATGAGTAGTTGTAGCAGATGAAGCTAACACACATTATTTCTTATAGCATTTTCCTTTCCAAATACATGCTCTATTACTTGTATCTTTATCACAAATAGCCAAAACCAAAGAATTTTCACATGTTTTTTCAACGCAACCTGCGCTTGTTGAATTTACTGTACAAGTATTTAAGAAGGCTTAACAGAGATCATGAGTAGTGTTAGTTGTTGGAGCATTCACACATGTTTTATCTTTACAGCTTGAACTTGCGGTATCCCAGAAACATGTTGATGCAGAAGAATTCTTAACACAAGCAGCTTCTAAAGTTATTGCAGCACATGTTGTATTGGTAACACATCCACCACCTGATTTTGTTATGCAATTATTTCCAGTGAGATAAGCTTCACATGCATCATTGGTAGTCAATGTTGTTGGAGCATTGGCACATGTTCTATTTTAACATCCCCCACCTGACTTAACAGTACAAGTAGATAAATAAGAAGTACATAAATCATGAGTGTTATTTGTTGTAGGGGCATTAGCACATGTTTTCTCTTTACAAGTTGTATCCCAAATGCAATCAAAGCTGCTTGAGTTTTTAACACAAGCTGCTTGAACATTAGCAACAGAACAAGCTCCATTAGCAACACAACCACCACCTGATTTAGTGATACATCCTGTAACAAATCCTGCACATGCTGAATTAGTTGTCATAGTAATTGGAGCATTTGCACATGTCTTATCTACACAAGCAGTTCCTGTCCAATAACAATCACCACCTGAACTATTTTTGATACATGATGCTTAAATTGTTGCAGCAGCACATGTAGTTCTTGTTACACAACCTCCATTTGCTTTTGTTGTGCATGTTCCATCAGTTCTAAATGTCTTACAAGCATCATCAGTTGTCAAACTGGTTGGTGCATTATCACAAATTCTATCTTTGCATGCAGCTCCATCCCAATAGCAAGAAGTTGTTTTTAATTTATTCCAAACACATTGAATTTCTAATGTTTAATCACTGCAGTTATTTCCACTATCAACACATCCACCACCGGTTTTTGTTGTACAAGTTGAAATCACATCTCTGCAATCTTTGTCTGTTGCGAATGTTGCTGGTAATTTATCACAAGTGTTGGCATCAACACAAGTGTTATTTGTTGTATCCCAATAGCATAAGCTTCCGGCAGCATTTTTGACGCATGGAAGTTACTTTTTGTAAGTACTACAAGCATCAACTTCAACACAATGAGTTCCATCGGTAATACATCTATTACTGATTGCTTAACATTCAGAATCAAGTGTTTTAGCAAAAGGTGTACATCCTGTGAAGAATATACATTTGCTTTCAACCCAAGCACAAGCGGAGTAGTTTCCGCAATCAGTACAAGGTTTAGCTTTTGGACAATCTGCTTCAGCAAATGTATCACAATATGCTGCATAAGTCACTGTTGGAGTGACAGGAGTTGTTGAAACTCCACAAGTTTTCTTTGTTGTATCCCATGAACATCCAAGTGAAGTATTTTTGACGCAATCTCCTTCTGATAACAATTATGCACATGTGCATGATGTTAAACTGTATGTTTGACTTGCTACTAAAGCAAGCAACAATGAGAGTATGATGAATTTATTATTCATTAAAAGTATTAAAATTAAAATAAAACTGGAAATCGGTTTTAAATTCTTATTTAAATTAAATATTTTAATTTAAATAATGATCTAATAATATTCTCTTGTTTTTGGATCAGATTTTGAATGTAATATTAAACATCATCATTAATTAATTTATTATATGTTTTTAATGTTATAAGGGAAGGTGGAGATAGCTTCAAAATGTAGAAGAGTCTGATTGGAAGCATTAAGAACCTTGGTATCAAATTACATTGGTTATTTTATTTTTCCAACTATACTAATGTGGAATTCATATCAATTTATTCCAACTCCTGGTTCCTCCTCATCTGATCTTTAAAAATATGGTAAATTAATCCCTTAATTGTAGATAGATGCACTCATAAAGGAAAAAAAAAAAAAAAATTTTATGATAGCTCAAAACTTGAATTTTGGATTTACAAGAAAATTAATTGTGAGCTATATAATAGTGTGGTTATTCAAAATCAGAAAGAATTTTATATATGAAATTCCTTTTTCACTTTATTCAACTATAAACAAATTAGGGAAAATTACTCTAATTGAATTATCACTGAAAGATTAGAAAAATTACATAACCTAAGTTAAAACAAGTTTGTTACTTGAACAATTGATAAATTCGTTAAATATAGATATCAAAAGCTTTGTTATTTTTCATTTTTTAGGATATTTAAATTATGGAGAAATTGAAGTATATTCACTTTATATTCTCAATAAATTAGAAACCTCATTAGGAAATATTAAAAGAAAAATTCCCATCTGAAACGTCGCTCATGCAATCTTACAAACGTAATTGAAAAAATTGAAATAAGAAATAATTAACCTGATTTTAATCAACAAAATAAGGAGAATTTTTGTTCATAAAAATTTAAAAAAATTTGAAGTTAATTCTTCGTTCTTTCTTCTATTATTTATTTCTTAAATTTTTTCGGTTTAGAGATACGTATAATTTTCTTTTTATTTTGAGACGTTCAATGAATATACAAAAATTTAATCATCAACCAACTAAATTCAGAAAAATAAATTAAATTAAAATAAATATTATTCAAAATAATTCTAAGGATTAGAATTCCAAGTATATTTTTGTTTTTAGAATTGTTATTAGATTATGTTAATTTCATTTTTTTCTAGGTTTTTTTTATTTTAGTATAAGAAAATTATTCATAATTAATAATTAATAATGAAATATTTTTAATAAAATTTATAAAAAAATATTTTTATTAAATTCTAATTTTAGAAATATAATTCTCTTTTTTTTTTTGACCAATCCTTGTCTTAGTGATTTTGCAAAGTCTCTTAATTGATAATTAAGCACCTTTCAAAGATGTTTTTTTATTGGATCAACAAATTTTAATGAATAACAATGACTTAATGATTATCGGAAGCATACCAAATAAATGATGCCGTTTGCAGGCAATAAGTTTTCACACAATTTCCAGCAATGATTCACTAATTTTAGAATTATTTTAGATATTTAATGAAAATATTCTTTCATCCAACTTGTATTAAAAATGTTTATTTATATAAAAATTATAATTAATAATTGCTTATTATTTGCTAATTTTATAAAACCCTGATTAAAGGCGAGAAAAATAATTTCGCTTCAAACTAAGACTGTTATGATTCAATATTTTTTCCTCCTTTTAGAAGTATAAAAATAAATCAATTTTGGTGGTTTGAGAATAGCCAGCTACTCTATTCTATCATAACACAAATTCACTGTACCTCACCTTATGAAATACATAAAAAATAATAATGTAAATGGACTATATACACAAAAATCTATTCTTATAACAAATAATCGGTTTCCATTGTTCGCATATTGAGATAATATAGAAATTATACTTAATTATTATAATGTAAAATAATATAATCATATAAATTTGATACTATATAAACCATTAAACTCATAGACTTAGCATCTCCCAGTTTCTTCTAAAATTAAGCATGCTTTGAGAATTTATTCTTAAGGTAAATTCTATAGATTTATGTACAATAATACTTTTAGTTTAATCAGTCCTACTTCCTTCAGTAATGCCTCTTAATGTCTCTGTGTAACAATCAATTTTTTCTCCTTAGCCCAAGCATAGATTGCAACTGCCAATTCGAAAGGACTAACCAAATTCACAGGGAAATTTTAATCATTTTTCCATTCTATGGATCCTAATTGTGCCATTTAATTAAGTATTTCTTTGATTTCTGAAGAATCTAAACTCTTATCAAAGAGGATAAATCCTAAATTATGGGAATATTAAGGATTCCACTAATAGAGGATTCCAAAATTTTATGTGATTGAAAGTAGAGATGGACAATTTCACCCCATTAAGTTACTTGTTTCTTTCTTGTTTCTTTATGATCTTATAAGCTATATACTTGAGATGATGAATGTACGTGTAAAATAGAGGATATTTCAAGAGTTTTGAATGTAATTCTAATTTGTCTTAAGCATCCTAAATTTTAATATATATTATTAATTAGTAAATATATTCAAATGAATTCAAGTAATGCCACATCTTTAGGCTACTACTCTAATCCTACCCGACACAATGAACAACATGAATCTCTCCCAAGCCATTATCTACAACATTCAGCATGAAAGTAATGTTCTTGATGGCAAGGCATTTAAATAACACTGCGAGATTCATTTATTTGTTAATAACAAATGGGACTAAAGTAATTTAAATAAAATACCAATCATTTGATTACAATGAAGGATGTTTTTCTTTAAGAATTCTAAATTTAATGTTTTGTAATTGATCATAGAAATTGATAATAATATTCCTATTTTATTAATAATTTAATTTTTGTCGTAGTACTATAAACCATAACATCACAAATGGCAAAACAAAGCACAAAAGAACTGGAATAAACCAATAAATAATTAAGAGTACAATATATAGTTGAATAAACATGGGGATATCGGTGGAAATAAATATTATGGTGACTAAAGTGTAGACAGAAATGAAGTAGTGTAATAATTTAATGGTAATACAATTGAAATAGATGGATTTTTTTTCAATAATATCAATGATGAGAAGTCCGTTCATAGGACCATAATAACTAACAAATTCTTAAATGATTATTTAGGTAATGGAAAAGTTCAGAGAGAGTACATTAAATTATCTATTGAAGTTCTGTACATCAATAATACCTATATATTATATATGTCAGAATTATAATTATTACTAAATAGTGAAGCATGTTAATCACATCGTGTAAACCAATCACTAAGATGAGTATACTGAAAGTAGGTTCCACTATTTCTTAATATTAGAATAGAGTAAAAAATAGTTTGATCAGATAATAGAAGCAACAAAACCAACAGAGTGCATGTCCTTCTTTGATTGCTCTAGGAAGCATAGGCATAAAGTTCTCTGTAATTATGAGTGTTTAATCTAAATAGGAGTTTTCAGCTCCATAATTGACTTAGTGGTCTTAAGTCCAAAGAGATTTGCTTCATTTATCGTACAATTATAATAAAAATAATTAACATGGAAGAAAATGATGCTTTAATAAAATCATCTGAACCATAACATACACGAAATATTATATAGGCTCTAATAAATGAGTAAAAAATTATGTATGCTGGATTATAAAATCAGTGCCATTTTATGTTAAACTTAGAGAATACCTTGACAATTGCCTTATAAAAGGAGCTTCTGGATAAACAGTACCATTAGCTCTACTATTACCTGTTGGTCTTCTCTTAGGTAGTGTGAACATATTGTCAAAAGCTACAACCAATATTATTGTAGGTAGATACTGATGCCAAATTTAGGTGATTATATCCTGACCAATTTGGTTTAAGTGATTCTCTAAATCTGCGGACTTTGAATTGTTCTATATTTATTACTTACAGCTTGTGAAGTGATACAAAAAAGGATTCAAAATCCATTACTTTTTGGGAGAGTAACAACATACATTTTTATGTGTCTGCTCATTATTATGGGAATTTTAGATGTTGAAAGAATAGTTGATGGATAGGCAAGAACTTATCATACTTCTTAATTCTGGGTTGTCTTTGTCTTAATAATATGGTAAAAATTCTTGGTGTTATTTATATACGATTTTAAGGTTAGATTTGCAGCATGTTTATTTTTATATACTTATTTCGCATTTAGAGTTTCAGGTTAAGAATTTAGATGGATCGATAATCTATTAAAAGCATCAGTTTATATTATTTTAGAATTAGTAATGGTTATCGATAAAGAATTAACGAATTATGCTGATTATTAATTGGAAAATAATATCTTTTATAAAATTGAAACTTAGATTCACACTAAATAAGTGATTCAAGAAGTAGTTCCTCCTATGAGAATGTTTTAATAAAAATTCCTTCTTGAATCCTATCTGAAGGTATTCCCAGTTGTTATAATTGATTAAACCAAAGAAATATTGAATATTTCATCTGAAACATTAAAATTATTAAGTCAAAATGATATATTTTAAGCTGAAAAACAATTAAGAAAATTGGAAATCATAGAGGTCTTTAATAGAAAGGAATAATTATCAACTAAAGAATTGATTGTTAAATTGACTAGATAAGCTAAATTAGGATCTACATGTGGAGTAAATGAAAAAGGAGATTTATTACATTCTTTAATTAATGGTCTAGCCTTACAGCAATTGAGATAATAGTAATAAGTTGATTAGCCAAAATTATAAATTTAGGGATAGTTAGAATAGCTCTTAAATGAACTCGTAAAAGGGGATCAAGAATACTTAAAGGTTAATTAATGTTAAAATTTAGTAAAGAAAAGTAATACTATTTCTCATTTCATTTAGTTTGTAATAATAAGATTTATCTATTTTTGGATGATGTTTCTGAAATAGTTAAATTATAAATGAAAACAAGGATTAAAATGATGAGATCAAAGATGTTAAAGATATCAATATCTTATTATATGAGATTCGTTGAATAGTATAGAATAAACAAAGGATGGATTTTTTGGTATAACAATTGAAAATGATGCCAGACCAAATTGCATTCAAATATCTATACAAGATACAGGTAAAGGGATTAATCTAGATGAACTTAAGTATGAATCAGGTACTAAACTTTCTGGTCTCTTTATAGCCAATTATTTGACTAAAATATTGGGAGTTTCATTTTTTAATAAAAAGATTAATAGACATATAGCAAATAAAGGATTGAGAATTATCACTACATAAGAATATGGCACCAAAATTTCATTTACTGTCAGAAATATGATGTATGATCAGAATAATGTGTAATTTCTTCTTGATGAGAATTTAGATGAAGATGATTAAAATCAAGATGAAATTATTGAGGGATACATAGTTGAAGATTAAACTCAATATTTGAATAGATTAAAAAGTATTAATATTATATATACTTAGACCTATTAAATATATTCTAATGAAAAATGAAAAGAAAAAAGTAGTTTAAGTACTAGAAGACAGAATAATTAAAAGACCTCAATTAAAAGGTATGATGAAAGATTGAAATCTCTAACTACTCAAATGGAATAAATATAATTCCCTTAAAAAAAATGTATGTGTGAAAATAAATTAATAATAAATAGTGATTATTAATTTACATCCATTTTGAGAGATTTAATTTCTAAATTGTTAATGAATTTTAAGCTTTGAAAATAATTAAAATAAAATTAAAAGAGAATCCATGAATATAAAAAGGATGTATGGCATTCAATAAAATTTACATTAATAGTTCAAATTCAAAACTCAATAATGATGAGTTATATTCTAATTTACTTTTATTTTAGTTTGATAAAAAAGTTGCTTCTATTGAATGAACAATTAAATATCATCGTCCTTTCATATCATCCTTGGGGAGGAATACAAAAAAATATAACATATTATTAAATGCCAACTAAATTAGATATTATATTTAAGTGATATATACACTAATAACATCATTTATTTCCTCCTTATTCATAAAAACTTGCTATTCCACTTAATCCAATTTCTAATTAAACTGGTTCAAGATTTTCTCTAATTTATAATCCTTAATATTATCTATTCTTATAAAAATCTAAAGTTTGTAATATTTTATCTAATGCTATCATTTGATTTTCATTATTTTAAGCTAATAGAGCAGTGCATTCTTCTTATTTATTTATTTATTCTGAATAATTTTATTGTCTTCTTAATGTTATTCTTATTCAAGTAAACTTAAATCACTTTAGACTAAATATCTAACAACTGAAAATGCTTAAAGTAATTAAAAGGGAGTGATAATCAATTTATAATATTTTTTGGTATCAATAATAGAATTTCTATAGGAACTAATCATATATAGGCTTCAATTTCAGGAAAGTTTTCAAGTTTAGCTTCATTGAGTCTGTTCATTGAAAATGTAAAGTATTTTTTTGATTATTTTTAAAAATCTATTTGCATACTTTATATGCATTTTAGTATATTTAGCAGTAGAGTTATTATTAGAATACCAAAACATTTACATTCAGATGCTTATGTTGTTCCTTTGATTATTAATGGCATCTAATTAATTGATAATATTTAATGTTAACATGTATTAGGATCTATGATATATCATTTTTCTATTTTTCCATATTCAAAATGTAAAATTAATCTTTATAACAATTCACTATCTTCAGATCCTATAAATATTAATTATTTTTATAATTCAGCTGCATGATAACCACAAGCAATATGTTATCTTTGTTATTGATTCAATTACTTTTAGAATTAAAGAAATATTTGTTTACTTTCATCAATCCAAATGTGATCATATTTTTAATCAAATAAAACCCAAGATGATTATTCAATTGATTCTATAGATTTAATTAATGCAGCTGAATCGTATTCTAAATAAGGTAATACATACATACATAATATTATCTGATTGAGATTCTATTATTTATTTAGTTATCTCAACACAGTTTAAGATTCCTGTAATTAATTACTAGGAAATTAGATCACAATCTTCTCAAAATTCTCTAAATTTAAGTTGTAAATTCTATACATAAATATATAATTAAACATATATAAATTTTAAATAATATTTAATTGAGTAATTAATTTAAAGATGATTTAGATCTAATAATTGATTATGAATATAAAGATATATATATATAAATTAATTATTTCACTGCTATTTATCTGGAGTGTGATTAAATTTCTAAGAATGTATTGATGGGTATCCAAGAAAAATTAATTTTAACGAGTAAACATTTTGCCAATTTATATAAATAGAAATTAATAAATTTATGAGTTAGTGAATATAATTTTTATCTAAAAATCAATTTAGTTCATTAATAAATAGAAAAGCCATTTCTTTAATATACAAGTCGTCTCTCACCTTTGTAAGGTATTTTAATTCAGCACAAGATTTTATATAAGCTGTTATTAACACTCTTAATAATATGGTGTCCAAATCCAAATAGAATTAAAAAAATATTTTAGAATATTAGATTTTGTTAATTCTCTGTGAATTTGATCAACCATCATTTATTCATCCTCTTATGAAATTTCAAAACTTGTAAGCTCTTTAATTTATTCAAATTAATTTCTTATAATATTTAATGTATTATCTGTCAATAATGATTTAATCATGTTCTTCCAAAAGATTTCTTAATTTTCACACATTTTGTTATAATCATTTTTTAAGGTATTCTACTTTATAGTTTCAACAATTATTGATTTTAATCCTAAAATCACATTCTCTTTAAGAAAACCTTCATAACGTTTAAAACGATGTAAAATTGTAGAAAATATTTCTGATATCCCTCATTCCTTTTTTTTCCAATATTGATTTATTTTTGAAATTCTCTATAATAATCGTGAAAATTTTAATAGCATTTATATATTTAATATAATTGCCTTATCCAATTTAATGCTTAATAAATGTCCTTTTGCTGATATAGAATGTGTGAAATGTATTAATTCAAATATTAAATGTATCTAAACTTATGAAAATTTGTTTCAAAGACTTTAATTATTTATATCATTATTTGTTTCTGGGAGCAAAAATCCCATTGCTTTCACTTTATAAAGCTTCTGTTCATCAACTAAAAAATTAAATCATGATTTAAATAATTCCTCATTATCAAATTACCAATTGTCATATATTTTAGAGAATTATAAAGATTAATAAAATTTTATATAAATTAAATATTGTTTATAAAGCATTATATAGATTTATGCAAATGAAATTCTAAAAATTTTTATGATAATCAAATTTTTATGAAAGCATCAATCTTCCTAATTTCTAATCCTCTTACTAAGTCTTTCTATTCAATTACTGTAAAGCGCGACAAACATTAAGACATATCTATATAAACCACCTCTGTTTTGTTATTTAAACCTTATAATATCCTTTTAAGTTCCTCTTTGTTAAATTCACACCTTTTCAAAATCATCTTAAATTACTTTAAATTATTAAAAGGATATTGCTTAAAGCTTAATATAATATTTTCACAAGTAATATCCAGAATATTCAATGCTTTACTTCTTAAATTCTAAGAAAATTCAAAAGTCTGAATTTCTGCATTATTGAAAATAGATGCCTTGAAAACTTACAATTAATCGAACTTTTCAAAGAGTTTATGACAACTTCTTAAATTAAGATTACCAGAAACTTCAAAATAAAACTACTCAAAATCGTACCTATCTAACTTTAAAAAATTTTCATCTATTATCAAGGTTTATTATTAAACTACTACAGATTTATCTTTGTATTATTGTATAATTTAAAAATATGAATAAGAAAAGGCTGTTAGAATTTTATTTCTTTCTACACAGACTTGCATTTATTGTACATTACTAGATTCTACTTGGATTTATAAGAATTGTAAATTTTGTGGACAATTTTTAATAAATGCATTAATGTGAGGAATATGTTCAGGTTTTACTTCATCCAAATAATAATTCAACTTTATTTAATACAATGGACTCACTTTTAAACATCTTATTAAATCATTTAGTTCAGCTCCCATACAAAACAATCTTTATGCTTAATCAATTTCTAAAATAGTATTTATTGAAGCTAGAACATACCTAAATTATGCTAATAACTTCTATTTTTTTAAATCTCCATAATTAGTAAAATTTAAAGTTTTCACATTAATTTTAAAAGTAAATTTTTCTTTTAAGTATTGTTATTTTACTTTTGACACAATTTAAAAAGATTTAGGATATTCCAATAATATTTAATTTGATATTGAGCTCAAATACAACATAGATTAAAAAAATTAATCCACTGAAACTGTACTTAAAATTAAAGCTGGAATAAAATAGTCTTTAATAACAACTTCTAATAAATCTTTTACTGCAAATATACCTTCTTTTATTTGTTGACCAAAAGAAAATACCCAAATACCATCTAATTGAGTAGATGCTAAAGATAAAATATATACAAAGAACTAAGGAATTTTATTCAAAGCTTCTTCAACATTTGTTCTCCACATTACAGCCTCATAAAATGGCTAATTTTATATTTATTTAATATCATTAGGATCAGCTTAAACTCTTTCATTCTAAAATACTGAAGTAGCTATACTACCTGAAAATTTTGAGGCATAACTCTTGAACTTTAAATATCCTTAACCACTAAACTCTCTCTTTACATCTTCAGCGAATTGCCTTACTGCTAAAAATAAACAAATCATAACGATATCCCAAATCTTTAAAAAGTTAAATATTGCAAATAAAAGAATATAAGACAGTTATCTTAAAGGTGAAAAATTTTTAAAAACACGCTATTAAAATACTGCAAATGATAACATCTATAATATTGGATTGATTGCGGTTAAGGCTATTAATGCAGATATAAACATATTAGGTTCATTATTCAAATAAATTAAAGAAACAATTTATAAGGACCCATTCAGCACCGACCAAAAAGTTTGAATAGTTGCTTAATATTAATTCAATTTGCTCCAAACTTCATAATAATCGTACAATTTTAACAAAAATTAAATATTTCCAACTGATTATGCGTATAGATCTCTTTTCGTTATACTGTCAATTTAATTTTTTGCATCAATAATTATTTATTCATTTGTTTCTATTTATACTAATAAATTTTGTTAATTATCCTCAATTCTTGATAATTAATTAACAATCAGACCACTAATTCCTCTATTGAGGTTTAATGATCTTCTTAGATCGTTTGGAATCAGTGCTTAATACTCTGCAGAAAGTTAAATGTAATCGTCTTTAATAAATTAATTCTTTTGTACTGCTTACCATCCAGTATTTATTTTAGGATTTTCAATAAATTAGATCTCATTTATTTTCTCATCTGATGCATTCGGATCAATTTTGTCAGCTTCCCATTTAGTATTAAGATTTGAGGAAGTTTATTTTTCAATTTTCAAATTGTTTATACCCTGAAAAATACGATTTATTTATGCTAAGTTATTATCATTAAAATATAAAAGATTGATTGATTCTACTTTAATCAATTAAAAACAATTAGCTAAATATTATAATGTTACTTCATGATATAAATCAATATAATGAAATTCAATATTCTTCACTTTCTTCTATTTCATCAAGAAATATAAAATTTAAATCATACATCTTTTCTTTTAATAAGGACTAAATGCACTAGGATCAATATGAAAATAAAATGATTTGACAAATCCCATATAATTTAAATCAGATTTAAATAATTGTTTTGTTTCTTAAATAGAATATAATTTGATTTTCTACAGTTTAAATTGTAATTCTGTTTACATTTATCTATAAGTTGTAGTGAATACAATAAATTATAATTCCAATAAATAATAGATTAAATTACTTATTAAAAATAAATAACTAAACACATTAAATCCATCCCATGATTCTTTTTAAGTGTTATAAAAGCCTTATATAAAAAGTTAAGGAATTGTTTAAATTGTCATTGTAATAATCATGGAAAGAAGAGCTACTCTATGAAATATTAAATCCCTAAAGATATTAACAGGTTTAGTTCTTTCTTTAAAAAGTCTACATGGATTTCTAAATTTATCCTCCCCACTTAACTACAAATATTTATTAATTTCACTAAATGAGAATTATCTAATAGATTAATCTCTATTCATATAATAAATAAATGGAGCTAGTTTAAAATAACTCAATACTCCCATAATCAAGTAGAATATATAATAAGCAATTTAAACAAAAAAACTTTCTCTAACAACTTCCCTAAATTTATAAGTGTACATCCAGGTTCCACTATGAAGTAAAACACATAAAATTATTGATAAATTATAACATGTCTCATAGTATGTATTATCATTAGTGATTTCATTATATGAACCATAACTTAATGTAAAGATAAGTTCAAGAATATTTAAGAGATATATAAAGGCCTAAAATCCTATTTTAGCATTGTATTTATAAATGCTTGAACTTCTCTTAACCTCTTTAAAACGATTTTCTATTAACTCTTAGAATTCGCTCATCAATTATTTATTTTGATGAGGCTCCCAAACTAGTTCAGGGTCAGGACGAGATTTACAATACCTTAATAAAGAAGATAAGACTTGTTATTCTTTGCGAGGTTTTATGTCTTCATTATCTTTTGAAGGATTAACAGGCTACAATTAGGCACAAATACTTACTGCTACTTCCTACTATTATTCTTTTTTCTCTTATTATTTTTTCTCTTATTATTTTTTCTCTTATTCTTTAACTGAAATTGGCATTCTCGACTCATTCCTATCGTGGTTTGGCTATCTGATTTGGTTTGAGCTTATAGATTTCTTTTACATTTATATATTTTTTTTAAATCAAAAAAAAGATTTTCCTTAAAATATTTTTTGATTCAGAATTAATCAGAAATCAATTAAAAAAATTCTATCTTCTTTTATATTATAAATAATATTCAATTAATATGCGAATTCATTCTTTATTATTATTATTTATTATTATTAGTGATTATTAAGTTAGAATGGTGTTTTAGACTCTCTAATTCTTTTTTAAAAAAGAGAATAATTACTTAAAAATTTGATGAATTTGCTATTTAAATTAAAGAATTTAAATTAATCCCTAATGCAAAGTCAAATCTTTATTGTAATTGTATGATCCTATATTCATTTTAGTTATTTAAGCTATCTTTCAAAAAATATTTTATATTAATAATAATTGATAATTTTTTATTCAAAAATCAGTACATATACTCGTTTAATTTTTTCCAATATAATAATGGCAAAAGCCTAATTTTTATAATTGGATGGTTTTTAGCAAAAAATTATAAAGAAGTCAATAGTAATTTTTATTTACTCTGATTATAGAATTTAATAGAATCAAGTATTTTTATTCATAATTATCGAAATTGTGTCATGAATTTTTTTACATGAGGTGTGTAAATAACAATTTAGATTTTTTTGTGTTTAAAAGTGCTAGAAACCAAATGACTTAAATTTTTTTTATATAATTTTAAGTCTTTACTGTGATAATTACCATTCTAACTATAATATTTAAAAAAATAAGAAATTCTCACATTTTTTTTTGTCAAATCTTCCTCGATAAGGTATTTCATTGAGTATAAGGAATACTAAAATTTATGAACTTTTAATTTTTAGCTTCATTCTCTTAAATAAAATTAAAAGTTGTATATATATATATAGATTCTTGATTTTGTATTGGGTTGTAACTAACTGAAACAAAAAAAAAATATTTTTATTTGGCATTAACAAGAAATAATAATTTTTGCTAGCATTTGATAATAAATGAGACCTAATAAAAAATCAATAATGATTAACAATCGCAAATATTTTTTTTATAGCTAGAAGCAAATTGCATTTAAATGTCTTCTTTAAAATATTTTTTAATGATATATTCATATAGGTTTTACAAACAATTGGAATGAAATCCATAATTCAATACTCTATTAGAATAGGGAATCAAATTGCTGAATTATCTATAAAACTTTAAAGGTTAATAATCTGGATGAAGCTCAACACTTAATATCAAAATTGAGAATAAGAGTTGGTTGATAGATTACATTTTTCATTATTATTTTAGAGATCCTATTTATAACAGAATTTCTTCTTATAAACTAATGATGAATTTTCAAGATTATATTAAAAAAATATTTACATAAAATTAGTATTCTATAATCTTTACAATACTGTATTTTATAGAAAATGTAAAATAACAAATTATTTCATTAAATGGATGATTAAAATACTAATTAGGTTAAAAATCTAGCAATTATCAACTTTATTTTTTTTTATTTGGAAATTAAATTATATTAAATTTATCAATTAATAAAATTTATAATAAGACCATTACTCTCTACTCTCTACTTAAAATAGGTAGTTAACAATTCAATAACATCAATTCATAATTTTTTAGATAATTAATAAATGAATAAATACTAATTTATATATTAAAAAGATCTATAATTGATATTGTTCTTTTTTATATTATGATTTCAATTCAATAATATTTTTCAATAATTAAAATTGAATTATAAGGAAATAATCTCGTAGTGATTATTAAATTTTTAATATTGAATTAATTTTAATTTACTTAATTCCATTTGATTATATAATTTCAAAGTTTTGAAAAATGGAATTATTTAAACAAAAATATGTATAAATATCATTATATTTAAATATGTATCATATTATTAAAGTTGCATCAAAAGGTTTCATTTCTAACTACTTCAATAAATCTATTTTCTCTTTCTTATCAAATTTATTTTTTCATAAACTCATATCTACATAAATAAATTTTATTATATACTTTTTAAGATTGATTAAATGTTATAAAGCACACCTTTATCAAATTCACAGTTTTTTTTAAGATATTATGTATAAGGTAACGTAAATCAGAAATATTTACTTCATCTAAATAAAAATTCAGTTTTAATTATTACGTTTAACTTACTTATAAACACAAAGAAATAAAATATTACATAAATTGTTGATACTATTTTAATTTGTTCAAATCTTCATAATAATTGTGAAGTTTAATAAAGCAGATAAGTTTCCCAATTTTTTCTTCAAAATACTTGCTTTTAGTTATTTCACTAATTATTTATTTAGCCTAATCAATAATTTGTTAATCTGTTTCTCTATATTATAGTATTTCATCAAGAAATATAAAATTTAAATCATACATCTTTTCTTTTAATAAGGACTAAATGCACTAGGATCAATATGAAAATAAAATGATTTGACAAATCCCATATAATTTAAATCAGATTTAAATAATTGTTTTGTTTCTTAAATAGAATATAATTTGATTTTTTACAAATAAAATAATATTATACTGGTTATCCTTTGATATTGAAGTTATTAGCGCAATTACCTATGGGGAGCATCTTATTAAATAAACAATAATTTAATCCTTTCAAAGTAAAATAGAGAAATAAAAATGATAATAATAGAATATTATTATACATAATACTCATATATCAGCTTCAATTAAACAATCAAAAGAACATAATACCTATATATATCATCTCTACTTAATTATCAAATATAGTATTTCAGTGAATATAAATTAATTCTTTTTCATTTTAATTTATCATTTTCAAGATTACTTTTTAGCACTTTGGTTTTAATTTTATTGTTTTAATTCAAAATTAAGTTTCATTATGATCTATAACTTTATCAAATCAAATCATTGTTGAATTAATTTACTATTTCTACGTAATAGTATTTAATTTTTATTCTATATACCCATTTTTATTATATACCCAAGTGATTTGAATCAAATAATTAATCATTTTGATGAATAAAACAAATTAAAAATGACATTAGCAGACATATATGTATAGAAAACACTAATAATAAAAGGAAGGACTTATCCAATACTATGTATACTAAGATATAAAACTTGAGTAATTTATTATATTCAAGAAAAGCTATCCATGAATATTTTTAGAATGATCCTAATAATCCAAGAGTTATTTGGAGTAATAACAAAGTTATTTTATAATTAAATTTATCAAAATAGCAATAATAATGTTACCAAAAAGTAAGAAAAAAAAAAAAAGTAAAGAGTTTGAAAACAAAAAAAGAATAATGGATGAAACTTAATAAGAATTTAATGAAATAATTTAATTACCAAAAATATTATAAATTAAAACTCTTTACTTTAATACTTCTTAATTCACTTATATATAATTATCAATCAATTGATTAGATTAGAGGAGATGGGAATATGAATAGAATTAATATGAAAAAAATAAAAGAATTTTAATCAAATGTAAGAAATTAGCTTTCTATAATAAGTTTATATACATATATATATTCAAGATATACTATGATGATTAATATATATAAATGTATATTGTATTGATAATCAAATATATAATTAATATATTTTAAGTTAATACAATTTTTTGTTCCAAATGACTAAATATTTAAAATCATTTGTAACCACTCCTTTGTATTAACCAGTTGGTTAGTTCTAAAAACTTGATACTATCTGAAATGATCCATCTTATAATTATTTTACTAAATTAATGTTTTAACCATGATGACAAATAATTTAGTTAAATTATAAATTATAAATAAATGGAATTTTAACATCTTACTTTATTTCATTTATTATGCTGCTTTTAGATTTTTAGATAAATACTTGATTTGCTTCCTCAAATACAAGAATTTTTTGTTCTTTATATTAAGTCCAAATAAACTAATTATCTTTAATAAAAACTATTTTATTCCCATATTATTTAACTGAATGATTAACAATATTTTTGAATTCCCAATCATCATAGTTATTTTTTTTCCAAACAATAATTTAAGCATCTTTACTACAAGATAATAATGTAGTTTCAGATTAATTCAAACAAATTGAAGTAACATTATCTTGATGTTTTGTTAAGGATTATTTTAATAGTAAACTTTTCTATTTAAAACTTAATTAATGTACGATAATTGTTTAATCATCACTACTTGATATCAATTAGTCTTATTTTTTGTTTATAATTAAACATCTTAAAGTTTCCATGTGTTAATTTTCAAAAATTGTACTTGTATAATTTATTTAATTCAGATAATTCCATATTTAAAGACTTCCATCACTATGCCCAGAAATAAAATCATTTGATTGTTAACCAAATAATAAAACACTAACACTTCTTTAACAAGGAATTCTCCTTAATGTTTCTATTCTACCTTCTAAGAATAAATAAACTGTAATCATATCATCTCCTCCTGTTAACAGTAAAAATCCATTTCTATTAAATGCCATTGAATATATTTCTTATATATCTGCTTAATAGGGTCTTAAAATTGATTAACCTGTTAAACTTTCAAGCTGTTATAATTAACTTTAATTTTTATTTATTTATTCTCTTTCTACTTTTATAGAAACCTTATTTTTTTTTTGTTCATCACCATCTTCTTATCTAGAATCAATTAGAATTTATCTAACATCTTAAACCATAGCTTATCCTTATTTATATAGAAGTAATCGAAATTAGGGAATTGTTTGAAGTTCACATTTTTGCTATTCTTAAGAACACATTTCAGCCATTTCCTAAAACTTAACTATACTAAAATCATCAGATTATAAATATATTTGTTAAAAACAGTTTGATCCATCTACAATTTTTAGATATACAGAATCAATCATATTAGTTAAATTCTTGTATTAAGCATTTCTTAACTATTCCAATTTGGAAAGACTGTTTTTATAACATTCTTGCATATATATCTAAGCATTTTATTATTATTCTAATTTCTAATATTACTTTTGATCCAAAATTTTAATGAATTATTCTATATCTAATCCACTTTATTAGCACTCTTAACATGAAATTCTTCTACTTTTTGGAACATTCTTTTCGATATTAATAGTTTCTACAATCTTATTATGTTCAGGACAATAAATTAGCTTAAATTTTTACTTAATTTAATATATATGTATATATACTTCTAATTATTTTTTTTTTATAAATGAGTTATCAATGTAAACATTCCAACATTTTTCTTAACTTAATTTAGCTATTTCAATCACTTTATCAGCTAATTTAAAGTTCATTAATTAATCTGCATATTATTTTAATTGTTTATCAATTTTATGATAATAAGTATACCCTAATTATTAAATTTCATAAGTTATTTTTAATTCACTATCTTTTAACCAATCTTCATCATTCCTTTTTATATTGTCAAAGATATTCAGAAAGTCTTTTTCATTTTTATTAATCCATGTCACTGATATTAGGCTTTCCTACCATTTCTAAACATCTTTGATAATTTAATTTAATAGATTATTCAAATTACTCTTTTATTTATCAATATACTATTCAATAGATTAGAATTTTCTTTAAATTTCATTTAAATATGGATTCAAAATTCTTTCTATCTTTTTAGTATAACTATTAATAACAATTCTTGCTTCTTCCATCTAAATGAAATCTTTAGAACTCCTTTACTCTTCTATAAGACAACTTTTACAAACCAGTCTTTCCTCCATATTTTTTTGAGAATCCATTAGCAAGTAATTTTTTGGAAAACCATGAAAACATTCAGCTTGATTTATTTAAATCATAAAAAATATTAAATATTCATTGATTTTATCTATTGATTTAAATATATTATTTAATTAAAATTGAAAAAAATAAATAAACTACATAAGTTTCAGAAACCATATTAGCTGTTCAAGAAGATGATAATGAGTTATAGGAGTTTAATATTTATTGGCAATATTTATTAATTATTAATCCTTTCATCAATAGAATAAATCAGTATTTTCATTGAAATATGCTATTTTTATAGTTTGTTTAAATACTTAGTTATGATAAATTTAAAATGAAAAACTTCACTCTATATAATCAATCTTATTCTTATCAAATTTTGTTTTCAATTAACTTTTTGCCCACTTTCCAGAATTATTTGTCTTAAAAAAGGAATATTGAATTATCAAATTTATAAGAACGAAAAGTTTGTCAAAATTTATAAAAGAACCATCTCCATATAAATAAATATTTACCTCCTTCTTTTCTTAATTATTTCAACAAAGTTAGATTTGTATCTGAAACTCATTTTAAAGTTTTATATAAAACTAATCTACCTCTTAATTAGGTAGAATATTATATTTCAAAATCTATTTTATTGTAAAGGCTTTGAATATTGCATGTTACAATATTGGATTAAGGAATTAAGTTGTTAATCAAAGTTTTGGATCCATAACTGCATAGATGTAAGTTATTAGATTATGTCTTTTAGAATGAGGACTAAGAAAATAGTAGATAAATTTCATTTTTATAAATTGTATTCCAACCCAAAATAACCATATAAATAAACCTTCTAAAAGTTTATTTAAATTAATCTAGAAAATTTGCTAATAAAAACTCTTCCAAGATTTCATCCTATAATTTGAGATTCTTAAAATGAGTAAATATTTGATTATTTGATAATGAATCTTATTGATAACATAAACCTAATTAATGACTATAACTATTACTAAAAGGAGTATATTTGTGAAAAACTTTCAAATCTATTAAAATAATGTATTAATTGGTATTACTTAATAATTAAAATTTAATTTAGTCTGGCCTTTGGTCAATTATCTTTAAGTAATAAAGCATATTATGAAAATACATCAACCATATACATATATTTAAATATTTCTTTTCTAAAGGTTTGATGCCATACAACACCTAATAGAAAATTAACACTTTATTATTAATTGTAATGATAAAATAACAAATTTATTTTGAGAATCTAATAAAACCTTATTTAGTTTACATTTATATTCATCTTTATAAATAAATTACTTTAAATTTGATACCTATCAGCATGAATAGTAATTGATTATCAATTAAAATTAAAAATAATAGTAAAAACATAAATATATCAAATTTTTTTAGATAATTAATAATTACATAAATTAATTTAATTTAATTAAATAAACTAGAATACTATGAATTTTATTAACTAAAGTAGTCAGAGTAAATCACTATATTGAAACTAAAAAGATTATCAATTTTTAATTGTATTATATATATATATCTTTTATAAATTTATCCTCATTTATCTTACATTTTCAATAATTTTTAACATTCAGCTTCTATTAATTTTATTTAAATACCTTTCTTATTTTATATAGTTATATCTTCTGAATAAATTTGTAAAGCTTAATCATAACATATTAATGCTTATTGGTATTTTTATTAATTTTGTAAGCACTCTCCTTATTTTTTAAATAGAAATATACCTTTTATATAGTAAATCATTTCATCATTGTTTTCATATTTTAGTGCCTTATCACAAAATGAGATTGCCTCATCATATTATTTTAAATTCATTAATGATTAGCCCTAAAAAGAAGTAATTCAACCAACCTTTAACTTTAAAAAGTTTGCATCTTCAGGGTTGATGGATAAAATTTTATTGATCATAGTTATTGCTTCATGGTTTTAACCTATTAAAATTAAACTCCTCACTAAATTATAATTTATAAAGAAACCTTTTGTATCATAAAAGTTCTAATGATTAGGATCTATCTATAATCCTATATCTGCCCATTTAATTGCTTAAGTGTATTTTAGTTGACAATATAATGATCGTGCTAAAATTAACTTAATTTTACCTTTAACATATATTGTATTTAAATGTTTTGGATCTAACGCTAATGCCTTGTCAGCCCAGATAATTGCTTCATTAAATTTACTAAGCATTCTTAAACAATAAGCTACAATTTATAATGATATCATACCTTTACAAGATAATGCAAGCAAATGATTTGGATTTAAAGCTATTGATTAATCTAAGAAATTGAGTGCTTCCTCATACTTATTAGAGCTTCGTAGATTATAACCTCAAATTTATTAATTGAAATACCTTATTTATATAATTATTCTGCTTCTTAAAGCTCTTTTTTATCTAATTCTAAATAGTTTAATTCTTTTAATCTTAACTCATCATAATTCCTTTTTAATTCATTTATGAATTCATTAGTAAATTTTTCTAAATTTTATGTTATTAAGCTTGTTGATTCTTAAAATTTCAGCATTTCATCGAAAGCAACATTGATTTATATATTCTTTAACTTATTTAATTTATTAATTGGAATTTGATATTTATTTAATAAACCTTATTTCAATATATTAAGTTCAACTTCTATCAGGTAAACATATGAACTTAACTTATCAACTAGTTCATCACATTTAGTTTGAATCTCTTAAATATATTTTACCATATCTTCAATCTCATATTAATCTTCAGGATGTGAAGAGTGTTCTTCATTTTTAATGCATTATACACATTATAATCTTCCTATTTTGCAAAAAAGATTAAAGCAAACCTATTAAACGCAGTTTTTGTGATCTAGATTCGAACAATAAATCAATATCTCATTAGATGAAATCATGCTTAAATAAAATAATATAAATTAATTAGATGAATTTGATCAATTTTTAATTATTTAAAAATTAGAATAATAAGAATCTAATATTTTAAATAAATAAATAAAAAATAGTATCTCTTGGATATATTTTAACTTGTTATATAGTTTTACAAAACTCATATTATGGAAAATTTTATTAAATTGTGTTATTATATCATATTGGTTAAAAGATAGTTGAAACATATAGTTTTTAATTTAATTTTTCACATTCATATATATTCATGTATTTCAACTTTTAGAATTATTTTAGTTTAATATAAGATAAATATTTAAATTCTTTTATTGCAATTTAATATCAAATGTTTTTATATTTACCCAATGAAAAATATTATATTCCAATTTGTACTTGTCTGAAAAAATTTATTAATAATGTATTAAAATCATTAATGCTTATCTCAAAAACAAAAATATGATAATAAGTCCGTATTAAATTGTGGAATTGAGCTATTTTAATTATTAATATGTAAATAATCATAAAAGCCAATGATGAATAGAATAAATTTTCAGATATTATTAGAGGACTATTGGTCTAATAATCACTGAGTATGAGCATCATATTCTAAATAAACAAAATGAATAAAAAAGCAAAGTGGAAAAGAAATAAGAAGAGATAATTATACTAACCTAATAAGTGTCAGAATCAAAATTTGGAAGAATTTAAAAATAAAAATTAGATTTAATCAATTTTTTTTACAAAAACTATAGTCTTTCCATTTATCTTCAAAGTAATCCTCAAAGTTACTGCAATACTGCAAAAATTAAAAATTTAGTTCAGAATTAACATCTTTTTAAGTTCATAGAGTCAGAGCCTTTCAAATAGATAGCAAATGGGATTAGCACAGAGGGAATCATTCTATCTTCCATGTCTTTTTTTGATAGTAATTAATTGAATTCATTTTTTGGATTGGAAGGGGAGAATATTATCCTCTTTACTGCAATATTAAAGGGCTAAATGAAACACTTAGTTAGAAATTGCTGGGTTCTTCTAGCCTGACCCTTCATTCTGTCTTCACTGGATAATCTTTCACTCAGTTAAATATAGTTGCTTTCCTTCAAAGCAAATTATTTTTAGATGATAACGGTAATTCAAAAATCATTTTAAAATTAAATATACCAATAAAAAACCATAGATTTAGAAATTCCACTAAATAAAAAATTACAATATAGAATTATCATCAAGATTTTTCTTAGAATTGCAAATTTTTACGTTAAAGTTAAAAATCTAAATGTTTGAAATTTATTACATAAATGAAAATATCCTTTAATCATCTTATAATATGAACTTTTTTTATATTATTATTTTTTAATTAAAGTGATAAATACATATTATTAAAAATAACTAGATAATAAAAAAAAACTATCCTTGAAATAACTACATGTAAGAAACTTTAAATATTTTCTGTATAAAATTTATTCAACTATTAAATAAATAAATTTTATAAGAATTAAATTCTTTATTTAAAATATTTCTTTTATAAATTAATCACTCCATAAAGATTATCAGTATTTTCGAAATATAAAATTGATAGAACCTGATAGAAATTAATTATTTAAAGATTTTACATCAAAAGACGCTTTAAAATGAAAGAAATAATTACAATTCAAGTTGGATAAGGAGGAATATAGGTAGGAAATGCATGTTGGGAATTATTTTGTTTAGAGCATTAAATTTAGTCTAATGGTTAGGTGATCAATTAACAAGTTATTGAAAAAGATGATAAATTGAGAACATTTTTTTCAGAATCCGATCATCAAAAATTAGTTCCAAGATCTTTGTTTGTAGATTTAGAACCTACATTAATAGATTAAGTGAAAACAGGTAAATTTAAGGAAATGTTAAGTCCAGAATAATTTGTTTCTGGGAAAGAGGGTACTGCAAATAATTTTGGAAGAGGTCACTATTCGTATGGCAAAGAATATGTTGATATATGTTTGGAAAGAATCAGAAAGCTTGCTGATAATTGTTCTTCAATTTAAGGATTTATGATGTTTAATTCAGTTGGTGGAGGAACAGGTTCAGGTTTAGGTACATTATTATTAGAAAAGTTATCAGTTGATTATTGTAAAAAATCTAGATTATGTATAAATATTTATCCATCCTAAGAAACTTCTGTTTTTATGGTTGAACCCTATAATTCTATTTTTGCAACTTAATCTTAATTAGAATATACTGATGTTTGTATCACTATGGATAATTAAGCAATTTATGATATTTGTAAGAATAAACTTAATATTGAAACACCAAAATATTCTAATTTGAATAGGATCATAGCTCAAGTGATTTCATCTATTACTTGTTCAATGAGATTTGATGAAGGACTATTTACTGACTTAACAGAATTTTAAACTCGATTAATCCCCTATCCCCAGCTCAAATTTTTAATTTGCTCTTATGCTCCTATAATATCCCGATAAAATATAGACAATGTGCAGCTTTCAACTGATGAAATTTCAAAGCTTGCTTTGGATACAGCCAATATGATGGCAAAATGCGATCCAAGATAGATGGAATATTTTTCATGTTCTATATTATTTAGAGGAGATAATATTCCTAGAGATGTTAGTCATTCAATTTATGAATTGAAAAAGCAACAAACCATTAGATTTGTTGATTGGTGTCCATCAGGCTTTTAAGTAGGAGTTGATTACCGAGACATATACACCTTGCCAGAAGAGGATTTATATAATAATTAACGATCAGCATGCGCGATTGCAAATACAACTGCAATGTCATAATTCTTTTCAGATTTATGCTAAAAATTTGATTTAATGTTTGCAAAAAGAGCTTTTGTGGATTAGTTTGTAAAAGAGGGTATGGAGGAAGCATAATTCGTAGAAGCAAGAGAAGCATTAGCAAATTTATAAAATGATTATTAAGAAGCATGTGTAGGGATATTTGAAAATGATTAAGAAGAAAATACAACTCTATGATTCTATGAATAAAATTATTATATAGATATTAAATAAAAAGTATTTTTTTTAAGTGCTATTACAGATTATTTAGTTTAATTAATTAATAAAATCCTTTTTATATTATTATAGAGCTATTTCTTAATTGTATCTGATTATTTGTACTCCTCTTATAATTGATTCATAGCTTTTTAATTAATCCTATAAATAGAAATAATTTTATCTCAACTATCACTTATTATTTTAAGGTATTGACTAGTTAAGTATAATTATTTTTAAGTTAATTTTTATTTTAAAAAATTCTATTATTAATTAATATATTTTGGAAAATCTTAGTATTTCAGATGTTTCATATTTTTTTGATTGATTGTATGAATGAATTAAAATATATTATTTTAAATAAATGAATAATTAAGAATGTGATCCTGATAAAGGATGTTGGCTTTTGAGTACTTGTGAGAGTGATTAAATAAGTTATTCGTGTGTTCATGATCCTATATTAGAATTAACTCCTTATACAGGTTTTGTTTATTTTTTAATCCCTATTTTGTTGGGGACTAGTATTATGGGTGGTTTAGGAAGTGGTATGATTAAAAGGCCTATTTTAAATCTTTTATTGAATTATCCTTCAAGTATATCAACTCAAGTAGCAGATTGTTTCTTATTTACAACATCGACATTGAATTCATTATTTTTATTTTTTGAAAAGTAAATCAAATATAAAAAAATAATAGACATCCAGATCATCATAATTTACCATTAATAAATTTTGATATAAGCATAATCTTAAATTAAACAATTCCATTAGCATGGAGTGCTGGAGCATTTCTACAATAAAGATCTCCAAAATTTATTATATATCTAATATAATTGTGTTTTTTATTGGGTGCCATTCCATTTTTATGGAAATTCAGTAATAAAATGTTATTTATTTATAGCACATTTATAGAAAAGATTAGAATAAGATAAGAAAGAAAATATCATATTGGTTAATTAAAAAATAAAGACTTAAGAAGATATGGGAAATGAAACAAATTTTGATGAAAAGCTCCTAAATTAGTATTAACAATTTTATAAAAATGACCATAAAAAATTTTAGATAAAGAATCTAAGTTTTATTTTTGGATCTTTTTTTGTTAATCAAACAATTATCCTTATGAGATCTAATAAATATAATAATTCAATAATTGGTTTAGATAAATGCACTCTTGAAAATAATCTAATTTTATTAGCAATAGTTGGAATTAATCTTACTTATACATTTTTTGTTTATTGGAGTAAAAGAAATGAAGAATATTATAAAGATATTGTATAATATAGACCAAATTAGAGATTCTTTAAAGAGAAAAAATAATTCTTTTTTTATTATTTGGGTGGTTTCTTAGCTGGGTTCAGCACAGGATTGTTAGGTATGGGAGGTGGTTTAATTATGGTGACCTTTTTATTATCATAAAAAATAATTGCAAGAGAAGCAGCTGCCACTGCTGCTTTTGGATCATTTATGATTTCTCTTAATAGTCTGATCTAATTTATTTTGTAAAAAACTATAACTGATTAATAAATGCTTGTATTTTTCATTTTAGGAGTAAATTATTAAATTACTATATAGATTTTAGGAGTGATAATTATAGCTAAACCTTCATATATTTTTATGAACAGATTCAAAATTGGATATATTATTTTAATTGTAGACATTATTTAAGTGTCTATCAATGTATTTTCAATCTTAGCCTTGATTATTATCAATACCATTTTATATGGATTTGATGCAATGTTAAATTATTACTCCCATTGTTGAAAATTTCAATTCATTTTTTTATTATATTAATCTAAAGTAAAAAATTTATATTATAATGAAATAAATTAAATTCATATTCTTTTAATAAGATAAAGTAGAAGTAGTTTATTGGCTACCCAAATTAATTATTATAACTATTTTAATTTAATTGAATTTTCTTTGAATAATAACACATGATCAGCTAATTCATTTTATAGAATTGTGTAGCTCTATTAATTATATATAAGTTTCATAAAATTACAAAAAATTGTTTTTAAATTTAATTACTTCCTGGTTATTTGATAAAAATAAATTTCTTAGTAATTAGAATAAAGATCTAATATATATATAAATTAAAATATATATTACACTCTAAATTATTTTATCGATTCTAATAATTTTTGAATTCATATTCGTTGACAATATTAATTATGAACAATACAAAAGAGATAAAGAAATTAAAATCAAATAGATAATGCTGTTTATGATAAAATTTTAACGAATTAATACTCAAAAATACAGTTGTGATTGTAATAATAAAAAGTATTAAAATTTTATTTTTCTGATATCTCATGACTTTATTTAATAAATTCTAATTTATAATATTTTATGGATGATCTTGAAATAGTCTTTTTTATTAAATTTACTAAAATTTTAGATGCCATCAAATTCAAATTTGAGTAGTTTTTTAATGTATAATAATTTCTTTCATTTTTTAACGCTTATTTCTATAAGAAATCAAAATTTATAAGTTGCATACTCATGTTTGAATTGAATCCATAAGAATATCAAAAAAATTTTGATTAAAGAAACACATAATATTTAATTTATTAAAATCTTTTATTTCTTTTATCGATTCACAAGCAATTATATTATTTTTTAATTAGGAATTTAAATATGATCATAATATATATTCATTTCTTTTTTTAATTTGAATCCTAATTAACTATTAAACTTCTTTTCATTTATCTATAATTTTCTATTGAATTTCATTTTGTATTTTTTTTTTTTCTTTAAATCTTATTTTATAGGCCATTCCAATTACCTGATTATTTGACTTGTAAACTTTTCTATAAATTTGAGCCAAAAAATATAAATAAAATTTGTGGTCAGAATGTTCTTTTAAGCATGAATGAAGCCATTTCACTTCCAAAATATACAATAACCTATAATTTTTAATATTCATCATATATTTTAACTAAAGTAATAATACATGGGTTTTCTTATGTAAAATTGAAATAGCCAAAATGAGTGGATTATATACTTAATTTACTAAATGAAATGATTTCATCGCTCAAAATAAAGTAATTCATTACTTCCTTTAAAAAATGGAGATTAGAATTGTTTATATTGTAATTAGCAAAAAAAAGAATAATGTATAATTCGTAAAAATAATCATATAATGAAACTTCTTCTTGCTTTAAATACTATATTACTTATTGATAATAAAAAAATACTTAAGTAATATAGCATTTAATAATACATGATGACCATAGTTGTTTATGTTAAAAATTTATAGATTTGAAAAATATCTTAAAATCCTTCATTTTAAGTTTTAACAAGAATTTTGTTCTTATTTATTCAATAATTAAAAAATAGTTCCCCACAATGTATCTTCAAACTTCTTCATATCAGATACTTTCGATGATTGGTTAAGGATCAGCACATTAAGTGTTTAAAGCAAAAAATAATCTCACTTAAAAGGTATTTGCACTTAAAATGGAAAAATACCCAATGTAAGGTCAAATAGAAGGCGAGATTAAAATCCTTAAAGAATTAAATAAGATAGAAGGAATTCCACATTTGATAGAACATGGAAAGACTGCAGACAATAAGTATAAGTTATTTAATCAATTTAGAGGATTTCTTATAATGCCATAACTAAATTGTAGCTTACGGGATTTAGTTAAATCTTAACAATTGTCTTTATCTTCTATATTGGCTATAGGATTAAGTATCATTAAAACATTAGAATAAGTGCATTTAAAAAAAATCTTACATCTTGATATTAAACCAGATAATATAATGATTTCAAAAACAATAGCAAAAAATTCAAAGGAATAATTACTAAAGCCTGGAATCATCTAACTTATTGATTTTGGTCTATCTCAAACTATAGGTAATTCTAAATTCTTACAAAATGTATTTGTTGGTTCTTTAAATTTTGCAAGCAGAGCATCACATAGAGGAGAGTAATTAGGTTATAAAGATGATTTAGAAAGCTTATTTTATGTTTTAGTCTATATGAGAAATGGTATTTAAGATTAATAACTTTAGGCAAATTACCATGGAGTTAAAAAGCTTCAATGAAATCTAAGGATCTGGACATCCAATAAATTGGAGACATGAAGACTTCCCTCTTTAATACAATGACATTATCCAAGAAATTTCCTTTAGAATTTTCGAAATTAATGTCCTTAATTGATGATCTAAAACATGATGAAATGCCAGAATACTCTTAAATTAAGGGGTTATTTATTAAAATGTTATAAACAACCTCTCTATCTTAAATGATGGACTAATTCTTGATTTATTCACCTAACTAATCTTATAATCAACTGGGAAATTCGGAGACTATTCAAATTCCAGTTGAAAAACAAAATTTTAATAATAATTCCATTGAGACGTAAATTTAAGAAGATGTAATAGATATTGAAGCTAAAGTCTAACATTTATCTAATTTCATTGGAAAATATACTACTATTTAAATAAAATCAATTGTAGACATAAAATATTGACTGCAATTATAATTGTATTAATTATTGATTAATTAAATAAATTTAAAAATATTTTATTTTTTAATTTTACTTCTAATTATTACAAATTTCTCTTTTGTAATATTTTAAACATTTAACCTAAAAGAATGTTTTTCCCAAAAAATTGTAAAGTAATTTTAATCATCAAGGATCTCATACGCCTATGAACAAGTATCATAAGTTTTTTCATATTTAATGCTACCAAAATTTAATTATAAAGAAAAAGAAAGATATTTTTATATTATCGCCCATTTTATAGAAATTAATTATGAAAATTTTGTATTAAATATAAAAGTTCATCAAATTACTTGTGTTTGTACATTATCTTAATTTTCATCTAATTTTTTTAAGTACTTCTCATCCATAATTATATCAAATATTTGATCTAAAGCTTTCATATTTATTTAAAATTTCTGATAATGTTATAATGGATACGGGCCTTTGATAGGGGAATCTCCTATTTTATTTATAAATAAAGTATTGTTTATAAAAAAATAAGAAGTGGAAAATATTAATAAAACTTAACTTTTTTCAACACCAAGAAATACACATTTTCTTAAGTGTTTTTTCTGAGAGTGTCTTTATAAATTTCCGAGATCGCCCTTAAATTTAAATTATTTTATAATTACTTGTATATATTTTCCGCAAAATTTTGGACACATTTTTTTGAAACATATAAGGCAAATATATTATTCTTGATATTTAGTCTACAATTTCAATTTAGGAAATTAGCAATTTTTCTTTTAACAAGGAAGTAAGTAATTCTTACTTAAAAATGAACTAAAATTATTTGTTAAAAAATTTAATCTTTCTTTTTTGAATAAATCCTTAATTACTTAGATGTCATAAGGTAATAATTTATTATTAATATATTTATTGATTTTTCTTTATGTCAATACTTCAAATATTGCTTAAGCCAATTCAATATTTTGATTTAGTAATATTGAAAGGTTAGACTAAAAATTATTAATATTCTGCTCTTTTATCATATGTGTTTAAATTAATTTTAAAATTTGAAATAAAATTTCTGTTTCATTTAATTTAATTTTTTCAATTAGATTAGAATCCAACTATTTATATAACAATCTCATCAAATTTATAATTTTTTATATAAAAAAATGTTGATTCTTTAAAACAAAATTCTCTAAGTCACTTAACAATTAGAATGTTAAATTACATAATATTTAGGATAAAATTTCATCGAGAAATGAATAAAAATTATATTCCTAAGTTGAAAATTTTTCCACAAAAATTTCTAAAAAGTTGTCAAAAATTGATTCTTAGAAAATATCCATTGGAAATTCAAAATCTAAAGTTTCTATATTTTACATGTTATAAGAATTTGGTAACATAAAATTATAAGGAGAATAGCATAAAGGGCATTAAAAACATTTTTGATCCTTTTGGTTTAGAGAATTGATTTATTGTTTCAAACAATCAGAATGAAAAATATGATTACAATTTGAAACATGCACAGATAAAATTTTGATTTCTTAAGTAGGTTACAATTAAAAAATATTTAAATATTAATAGACATTTGTGTATTAAATTAATATTGGTATGTATTAAAGATCCTCTTTTTCAAATGGTAATTTACATAATAAACATTTTTCATCATTATCTTCTATGAGTTATTTATTAATAATAATCTTGCTATTAAAGTTATTCTTCATTTAATTGAATTTTTATTGTAATTATAATTTATGTATTTAGTTTTTTTCAGATTTAGATTATTATTTTTAATGATCAATTTCATCCAATTTTTAAATTATACTTTAATTTTCTAATCTTTAGCAATAGACTTAGAAAAAGCACTCTTAAGTATGATTTATTTTTTAACTTGATAAAATTGTTTAGCTATAATGTTATATTTTATCCAATCTATTTTTAATCATAATATTTTAGGTCTTAAAAAATGAATTCAATAAAATTAACAAATTAATATATACTGCATTGTCCTATAAAATCTTAATTGATTATTCTACTCTGATATCAAAATCAATTTCTTATTAAAAAACATCTTCTAAATCTTTTAGAATTCTCTCAAGTAAATACTATTAATTATCAAGTGATATTGCTTTAAGTATTTCATATCTAATATTAGTAAGAGTTGATTTATCTGTATTATAATATTATAATTCATATTATAATGATGATCCAAACAATTCAACATATTTATCATTCTACATTTATAATTTATCATTAATTTTTTCTTTAATCTATTCATTTTATTAGGCATAAATTGGTTCATAAATAGATAATTTAACTTCTTTTTTTAATTATAATTATCCATTATCTTAATTCATTTCACAACAACTCAAAATAAATGTTTCAAAATCTGTATAATTTTCATTACTAAATGATTTAAGTATACTTTTCATTTCATTCAATTAATAAAAAGTTTAAGAATAAAATATTGTTTAAAATAATTTATGCAATCCTTTTTATACTTATACAGTTAATTAATTTCCTAAAATGTTTCCAACACATTATATTAAATCATTATCAGTTTAAGCTATTGTACAAATTAACAAAGTAGAATTTTCATTTTAATTAAGATGAGATGAGATTTCAATATAATACTAAACAATATCATTGATTCCCTATTCTTAAAATAGAAAAGCATAAATTTAGATATAAGCTATATCAACCTTTTAAAGAGATACTTCATCATCTAATTCCTTTAAAATGTCTTATTTCCCTAAGTAGTAATCATAATCTGAAAAAATCTGATAATTTAAAATGGCTCTTTTTAAGATAGAACTCATAATTAATTTTAACTATTAATCTGTTTATCCACTAATCTGTAGGATGTTATCATAAGCTTCTTTAGAATTTGAAAAATTCATTAAGTATATTGCTAACACAGTTATGAAATTTCTATCGCTTAAGACTATATTAGAAATGATTAATTGCAGTTGAGATTAATATTTTTAATTGAATACAGTTACTAAACTGTTAAGGAAATAATGTAAGATTATTCTAAATATGTTTTAAACTTCATTTGAACCTACATGACCAATAGCCAATACCATGGATTTTAAGTCACATCTAAATGAGGATAAATTTTATAATAACAGAATTAATAAGCAATTTAGTGATTATTCATTCTCTTCACCTAGTTGTTATTCTAAATTTAAATTCTTCTTTTGCTCACATGGATTTCTCCTAGTTAATATATAAATCAATAAAGATTAATTTAATAATTTCTAAAACCCTTATGAATTTGGATTGAATATTTGAGATTAAAAGGAGTGAACATCTATTGAAAGAATTTCATAAATCTAATTAACTAATCCTTAAAGACTTGATTTGCATTTCCTCATCAATTCTAAAAAATAACAAATACTATGAGATATTTCTAAAGACGTTTAGTTTGTTAATGGACTAAATTATTTATTATTTTATACATTTTTAAGAGCAGATCTGAGATATCATCAAATAGATTATAGCATATTGGATTTCTGATATTTTAGTATAACTTTAGAATTTCAATGTAGCCTCTCGAGATAAAACTATAAAACTTTTCTGCGATTGTACTTTTAATTATTATATTCTCAAATATAGTTTATTTTATTTGGCTACATGCAAGTATTTGTTCAATTAAAACAGCTAACTTTTAATCATTACTTCCCTTATATATTTAAAAATAGAATTCTTCATTATTAATATTAATTAATTTGTAGGAATTAATGAGAAGATACAATTTTGAAAAGTTCTAGATCACAACTTTAACAAGATGTGTTCGAAATTCATCCTCTTAAAAAAAAAGAGGAAAAAATGTTGAAATATCCTTTTCAAATTAGAGTGATCCAACTAAATGTGCACTTTATTTAAGATAATATTCCAAAAGTGAAGTTGATCCAATCTCTTAATCATTTATTTAATATTTAATTTCTTACTTTAAAATTTTAGCTGTTAATTAACTCCAGACAATATTATCAGTTGTTATAATTTCTAAGCATCTCAATATTAATTTATGAATTTATTTTGCTTAATTCATAGAATTTTTAATAAATTAGAAATGATCTCTATTAGAATTAAAATTATTCTTTAAAATATCATTGTTAAAACTTTCTATTATATTTTCTATATTTTCTAATAGATCAGCAGGATAATCAACTATTTATTCTAATTTCTTCTATAATAATCCAAAAGAAATCATTAAAAATTATTCATAATTTTTAATAATTCGATCATCTAATATCTATTATTTTATTTACAACCTAGTTGATCAATCTTAAACGTTATGTAACAATGATTATGTTTAGAACACATTGAATTGGTATCAAAAGTAATTGTATCACCACAATCGCAAAATCCTGGCATTTCAGATTGATTTTATTCAAAAAAGACAGCATGATCTAACATAATAATTTTCAATTAACTTTTATGAATTTCAGGAATAAGGCACTCTTTACAAATAGCATGACTAGGATCTTTGCAGCAATCAAAACATTAGTAAAACATTTCTGATTCTTCAATAGTTTTTGCACATAATTATTTTGATCCATATCCTTTTAATTTAACTAATGTATTCTAATATTCTTCTTAACTAATATTTAAAATGGTTAATATTAATTCTTCATCCTCATAATCATCAATATCATTTGAAATTTTTAAAATACTATTTTCTGTACTTAAAATTTACATTATTATATTATTATTTAATTATTAATAAAACATTTATAGAAGAATATAAAATATCATTTAAATGTTAGAATATCCTTAATTTATTTTCAATAACATATATAATAAAATTTATATTAAAATTATCTATTCATCATTTATAATTTTATGAAATTATTTAAATTCTGAATTATATCTATATCTTGATAATAATTATATTCAAAATACTTTTACTATTAGATGGCCATTTATTTAAATTATTATTCTTGATTTAATTATTCAGCTCCTTATCAATATTACCATTAACTATTTTAAATATGTAAAACTTCCTGTTTTTTTAATCCAAGTCTATCCTCATAAATAATAAAATTTTAATTGAATTTACCCAAATCTGAAAGATATTATTATTGTTCAGAATCACTTTTCATCAATTATTTTTAAATGTAAACATATTTTAAAAATAATTTAAATAGCTAAGGATCAAAATCCTAAGTATCTAAACATAAGAATCCAAGATTGATAGATTTGATTAATTTATTATCCTTTTTTATTAACAAATGCTAAATCAGAGCTAAATATTTAGCACTAAATAATAATTGAATTTATAGAACTGATTATTAATAGAACTGATTATTATTTAAATTATATCTTATTCTTATTCTGCATAATTAGATAGTTTTTTCTCAATTTATTCTAAATTTACAGCCGAATTATTTCTCAAAAATAATTTAAAAATTGAATGTAATTATTATAATAATATAATCTAGATTCATTTGAGTTGATTTTAATAATTAATTAGAAAATTTTTGAAATTCTTTCTTTAGATTTATCATAATTATTTACTTTTGTTACAATTCTTATAATTATCAATATCCACTAATTTTAGAGCTATTAATGCCAATTCCATAGATTTTTCAAATTCTTTTATAGAAATGCAATATTAAGAATAATGAAAATAAAGTTCCCAAAAATAATTTGATTTCTGAAAATGATATTCATAATATAAAATTGCTGTTCAAATTAATTAATTATTTTCCATTTATCATCACCCATAACGATACGTCTAATTAATTACTATTTCAAAGTCTTAATTCTATAAATATCAGCCTCTCTTTATTCTAATTATTTTATCATTTCTTTAACACTATTCACATGGTCAATACCTTTCCAATTATATTTAATAATTCTTCATAAATTCAATATATTTGAATTGATTGTAAATAGTTAAATCCATCTTGGGTTTTTTGTTGAAGAAAAGTANATATCTATATCTTGATAATAATTATATTCAAAATACTTTTACTATTAGATGGCCATTTATTTAAATTATTATTCTTGATTTAATTATTCAGCTCCTTATCAATATTACCATTAACTATTTTAAATATGTAAAACTTCCTGTTTTTTTAATCCAAGTCTATCCTCATAAATAATAAAATTTTAATTGAATTTACCCAAATCTGAAAGATATTATTATTGTTCAGAATCACTTTTCATCAATTATTTTTAAATGTAAACATATTTTAAAAATAATTTAAATAGCTAAGGATCAAAATCCTAAGTATCTAAACATAAGAATCCAAGATTGATAGATTTGATTAATTTATTATCCTTTTTTATTAACAAATGCTAAATCAGAGCTAAATATTTAGCACTAAATAATAATTGAATTTATAGAACTGATTATTAATAGAACTGATTATTATTTAAATTATATCTTATTCTTATTCTGCATAATTAGATAGTTTTTTCTCAATTTATTCTAAATTTACAGCCGAATTATTTCTCAAAAATAATTTAAAAATTGAATGTAATTATTATAATAATATAATCTAGATTCATTTGAGTTGATTTTAATAATTAATTAGAAAATTTTTGAAATTCTTTCTTTAGATTTATCATAATTATTTACTTTTGTTACAATTCTTATAATTATCAATATCCACTAATTTTAGAGCTATTAATGCCAATTCCATAGATTTTTCAAATTCTTTTATAGAAATGCAATATTAAGAATAATGAAAATAAAGTTCCCAAAAATAATTTGATTTCTGAAAATGATATTCATAATATAAAATTGCTGTTCAAATTAATTAATTATTTTCCATTTATCATCACCCATAACGATACGTCTAATTAATTACTATTTCAAAGTCTTAATTCTATAAATATCAGCCTCTCTTTATTCTAATTATTTTATCATTTCTTTAACACTATTCACATGGTCAATACCTTTCCAATTATATTTAATAATTCTTCATAAATTCAATATATTTGAATTGATTGTAAATAGTTAAATCCATCTTGGGTTTTTTGTTGAAGAAAAGTAAATATTTAATTCTCATGTTTAAATATTTCTTGTATTTTATGATCCTTTAGAGTATAATAATGCTTAATTATTCAGCTTTTGTACAACCAAGATAAATTACTAAGAATTAAAAAAACAAATTTTCTTTGTATTATCCAAATTCATGAATTTTTGTAACACTTCTTTCTAAATATGATGATAATTCAGATTAATTTTAATTAAGAATTTAGAATTCATAAGGTAATTATTTTTAAGTATTTTAATCATCTAACTATAATTAACAAAGTGTACTATCTTGTTTATTTAATTTCAAAATATTTAGAATAATCATTTTCTAATAGATCCATCTTTGATTCATTAAAATTACTACCCAATATTTAAATCCTATATTTTTTTGGTAAGTATTAAGTAAAAAAAATCAATTTGATTTAGGTTATAGTTCCATATATTTTTATGTTTCAATGATGTGTATCTACAATTAGAAATTAATCATAAATTATTCAATAATTATAATTGAGAAAAATATTAAAATAATCATTTAATATTCTGATGTTAATTTTTTTTATAAATGATCATACAGGATCTATATATAGATAATACGCTTCTATATAAATATTAGATTATAATTAAACAACATATAGTATTTAATTAGCAGTAGATTAATAATACTATAAATATAGCCAAAATAATATAGATTTCTTAATCATTGTTCATTCATCAATTTTAAATATAAATGTTGATTGTAATCCGGTACTCCATCTAATAGCAATACCTTATTGTTTTTAGAAACATAACACCTTTGTCTTTATGTTCTTTTTAGAATCACATACATAATTCAATTTGGATTATTCATCTTGAATTATATCCTCAGGCTGAATTTTGATATACTATTAATTTTCCTAAATAATATTCAATATTAGTTACTTTTGAGGCATCTTACTCATTTAATATAACTTTGAATTCTTAATTTCCTTTTACTATTAAGACAGATTTTCCATAATTTGTTATTTGTACATTAAATCCTTTATAATCAATTACACTAATTGTATTAATAAATACTTTGAACAACTAGAATCAGGAATTGTAGTCATAGTTGGATATATGAAATATTTATACTTTAATTCTATAATAATCAAATATAATAAAAATTCATTTATTTCTTTATGACTCATACTAATTTCTAAAACAATATGTAAATACTTTATTGATATAGATAATTTATATTGTCAATTAAAGTTACTAATCTAAAAATATTTATTGATAGTAGAAATAATCGTTTATATTTTGATCATTTTTCAATAATACATTTAAAGTTTATTAAATTTTAGAATAACAAAATTAATATTAATAAAGATATTATTTGCAATCGGATAAATTAAAATAATTTTCTATCAATGTTATTCGACATATCTATATGTTGAAAATAAATTTAACAATTATTATACTTTAATTATATAATTATTTTATAATTTCATCTAAATTTATTTCTTATAGCTCTTTATTATCGAAGTTAAGATTTTCTTAACAAGGTAAAGCTCTCAAATAAAGCTGGCACAAGACACATTACTAAAATTAATCCTATGAACAATATCAATTATTTCAAACTGTCTTTATATAGTTATTCTTATGTACAATTTACATTTGAATATCCATCCTTAATTGTGCATACCATTGATTAATAATATTCAGAATTTTCTAAATAATATGAACCTATTAATGCCAAAATTATTATCAAAATTATAGCAGAAACTAAATATGTATAGCATGTGACATTTTTAGAATATTTAATAATTTTACAATTGCAAAATTATTATGAAAATAGTTACATTTCATTTTTACATGATTCACAACATATAATGCCACATCGAGGACATTTTACTTATCTACTTATATTAAAAAACAAGAGTGATAGTTAACATTTCTTGCATTTTTAGTATTATTTTTTCTTAATTAATTATCTACAAGATATGCATTATTTAATAAATTTTATTTATGAATGATTGCAAGTGAATTTGAAAACATTTATATGATTATCTTTTTTATCTAAAAAAAAATTTTATTTGCATTTCACACAATGAATATAATTGGATTTTCCTTATTAATTGATCAATAAAGTTGATAAATCTGGGTGACATTCTGATAGATTTTCGAATTGAATAGAGAACCTTCCACAATATTGAAGATTCTTTAATTTTTTTTAGTTCCTACACATTTCGCAATTATATGGTTCATATCTGTTTAGATTCATTAATAATCGATTATTAGTTAATCTTCTATTACAATTAAAAAAACACATGTTAATAAATATTTTTATATATTATTATATAAATTATAAACTATAACAATATATATAAAATACTTTAATATCTCATCGAAATAATAATTATCAAATAAAACAATATTTTTTTAGATATTTAAAAAATAAAAGATGATTATTTTTTATATATTCTAGAATAAAATTTACTTTAAAGTTATTTGTTATTTTTTTGATTTGATTTAATCATTTTTGATTATAAATTTCAAAAATTCAGATTAAAATGACTTAATATTTAACTAATGTAATTAAAAATTAATTTATTGAATTATTGATCAATAATATATTTTCAAAATAAATAAATAATTCCAATATAAAGTATTATTCTTAATGATTTTTATTTTCTAATAGTTCATGAACAAGAGCAAAATTACAGATACTCTTAAGGAATTATTCATCTCAACTTAAAATTTAATGTATTTTAAGAACGCCTAACGTATAAGTCGAGTTTATATATAATTTATTATGTTAATTATTTATTGTTTATATCACTTATTAAATAAATTTGATTATGATCAAATGGAAAAATTATTTTTTCTTTTTTGTTGAATTTAATTTGTCAATATTGTTTCTAAAAATAATAATAAATAACTTATAAACTAGTTTCATAATGTAAACTAATTATTATTTTTTAATAATTATTACAAACCATTAAGTTAAGATCATTTTAGCATTAAATTACAATTTAGGTATTAAATATAAAATGATATTTTCAATAATTTAAAGATAAATATCATTTTATAAAATTAATCTATAAATTCTGTAAATGAATATTTTAATAGATTTTATATAAATTATTTTTATGAATTATCCATTTTCTTAATTTATATAGATACCTTAGTCTTAATATATTGATTAAACACATAAATTTTGCAAATTCTCCATTTTTATTTAATTAGACAGACTACTTATAGTCTTTATTAATAATTAATACAACAACAAAAATGATGAAAAGATATTAAAAAAACTTGATTTTAAATGAGAATTAACTTATGAATATTTAAATAGTTATTATGAATATCTATGATAAAGAAACTAATAATTCTCAAACTTTATCTAATAGGAAGTTAAAATTTTAAGATATCTTAACCTAAATTAATCAATTAAAGGTAATTGATTGAGATAATATTATAGTAAATCATAACTTTAATGGATGAAAGATTATAGCAAGTGGAGAAAGACATTATTAAAAACGAAATTGAATAAGAATGCAATCAATAATATTTACTAAATGAGACAATATACTTATCTGATTTTATCAATCTAAATGAATTAATATCCCATTTCCATAACATAATTTCCATACTTTAAAGTGCTTTTGGAGATATACATAAAAACATAAAAGTGTAAAATAAATAGGTTGCAATAGAAAACTAAGAATAATCAAAAGATGATGAGAAAGAAAGATAGAATGCAAAATAATCACAATTAATTTAATAAGAAAATAATGAAAAAGCAAATTTATAAATTTAATTATTAAAACAGAAAGAATCTGAATAATTACTTAAAATTTAGAATTTAACACTAATAAATCAAATTGAATAAAAATCAAAAAATGCTATAATTTTAGAATCCTAATTGAAAGAGTAAAGCAAGAAAAAATAAGAAACACAGATTTTGTAGAAATTCAAATATGAATAAATTAATTAAAATAATTCAATCAAGTAATAAGAATTTTGTGGAGCATTATCATTCAATGCGGATTGTTCAATTCTTGCAGTTGGCTGCAATAAATAAATTAAAATGTATGATTTTATGTAAGGAACATTGAAATTAATCCAAACATTAAATGATCATTATAATATTATTGTAACACTCAACTTTATGAAAAATAACAATTAACAATTTGTATCAGGCAGTAGTGATAATTATATATTTGTTTGGATATTGAATCAAAATTATTAATGGGTATGCCAATAAAAATTATAAGGGCATACTTCAGGGATATTATGTTTAATTTTGAGTGAAAATGATGATCTAATGATTACAGGAAGTAGAGATAAAAAAATTAAATTTTGGATTAAACCAAATAACAATGCTGATTGGTCTTGCTCTTAGACTATTTCAGAACATAAAGATTATGTTAATGCTGTTAGTATGAATGAAAAAGAGAACAGATTAATTTCATGTGGAGAAGACAAACTAATTCTAGTTTTTGAAAGACCATCAAAATTTTAAGATTAATGGAATCTAATTTAAAAAATTACAATACAAATTATGGGATTACGATTAAGTTTTATAAGTGATAATCAATTCACATTTTAACCATGTAAACAATCTTATATGAGTGTTTTTGATTTGGATAAAAATAATATTTATAAATTGAAAGCTGATGTTGCTGTTAAAGGAGGAAATGATGATTGTTATTATCTTTTTCCTTAATAATTCAATAAGTAAAAAAATGTACTTATTAATAAGAATGTTAGTTATATCAATTTCATAAGGAAAAATGAAAATGGAGAACTAATTACTGAGTAATCCATTGATTTTTGTACAAATTCAATAAATGGAAAACTAAGTAATGATGGAGAATACTTAGCAACATGGGATAGAAAATCATGGGAAATTCAAATAAGAAAATATTATGAGTTTTGATGTTAATGTCATTTTTACAAAAATTTAAAATAAAATAAATAATTAATTAATAAATATAATTTTTAAATAATGATTTGTTATTATTTTAGTTCTCTTAAGTGTGCTTAATTAAATTGAATTAGTTTGGTATTGTTTAATATAAATAAGAGTATATTTTCGAATAACAAGAATGCTTATTTGTTCTTTTAATTCTATATAATGATAATCCACTCTTGCCTATATGTTGATTTAATTATATTATTCCTTCAAATGCATATAATAAATAATTAAGTATTTTATTTGAACCTATTATATTTTCTTAAATGAAAAATAATAATAATGATTGTCATTTTGAATTGAATAAACTAATACAATTTGAATAAAAATAATTAATAATACATTAAAATTAAATATTCAATTAAGATATCTTAACATAAAATATGATTAAATATCTTAATTTAATAATTAAGTTAATTATTAATAATAGAAACTATCATTTTTAGATCAAGAATATATCCATATAAGTTTAAAATAAGAATGGAATTTTTAATTGAATTGAGAAAAGAAATGCAGCTATAGTATTATAACAATGACAAATTTGACAGAGTTTTAAAGTTAATAGAATTACATATTTTATTTGATCATTTTAATTTAAATCAAATATGATATAATTTTTGCATTAAATAAATTTATAAAATGGAAGACGATTCTGAATTCTTGTGTTAATAAGAAGGTCATGATGAAGATGAAATAATTGGTTTCTGTCTCAATAATAATTGTAAAGAAAATACACAATTTTGTTTAAAATGCTGTTGGGATAAGCACAGCAGTCATGAAGAAGAATGCAAAACATTTAAACAGATCTAAAAGACAATTATAAGCAACAAATTACTTGAGGAAAAGTAACACACCCAATTAATTAATAAAATGAAAGAAATATAAACTTTGTGTGATCAAATTACTCAACACAAGAATGTGGACACTGGGAAATTGTAGATTTTAGAAAAAGACTTGAAGGATAAAGAATATAAAAAATGCTTAGAACACATTCCATTTTTTAAAAAATATTGTCTATATTTACAGTCGAATTCATAATGTAACATGATTGTTATATAATTTTTTAGAAATGTTATTAGAATAATTAGATAAAGGATTATAAACATTAAAATTGTTAACATTAGGAATCCCTGAAATTTTAGAATAAACTAAAGGTACTATTTTATATGTTAATTTAAGTTTTGGAGAACTATAATTCTTCAATTAAATCTGAAATTATTAATCCAAACCAAAATCAATAAAAACCACCTTAAGTTGAAGTCTAAAAAAAAGGTTATTATATCTATATATATTTAGATTAAGAAGTCTAAGTTAATATAGAAATGCCAATATAGAATTAAAACTTAAAATAATAATAATAATAAGAAATTGAAATTTTGGAAAAAAAAGAAATTATAAAACCACAACCCTATCAACCTACTAGAGTTGGATTACCTCCTTAAGTAATATAAATTTCTAATTTAGTAAATAAATTAATAACCTTCCTCTGTTTCTAGTTATTAATAACCAAAACCATCAAACCCTCCTTCTGTTTCAAATTAATCCTCAAATATATATCCTCCTCAAGGTTCTAATCTACAAAAGCAAAATCCACCATAGAATTCCATAAATAAGCCATATCAACCACCTCCAGGATCTAGCTAAATTAATTAATAACCTCCTTCAAACAAAATTCCTCCTCCTGTTACAAAACCCCAATAATTACCTTCATCAAATCTACATCCTTAATAACAAAATGCTCAAAATTCAATCCCTTAAATTCCTAAAGCTAATCCTATTCCAGCCAATCAAGTATAAATATAAAAAAATTAACCATAAAAATCAGATTCGGAATCTTAATAGCTTGATTTCTAAAAACTTATGAATATGATAAATAGTGGAGGACAACAAGGTTTGTTGAAATAAGTAATTGAATTTTCATTACAATAAGAAATGGAAAAAAATGCAAAGTAAATAATAGTTTATTAAATTTAAGGGACAATAATCAGCCAGTGCCTAAAATATCACTCACTAATGAATAAGTTGAATATTATAAGGGTTTAATAGAATCTTAGTAGCTCTAAAAGTAATGTAAATAATATTTTTTAAATTTAGGTGCTGAATTATTGTAAAAAGAAAAATATAAGGAAACAATAGACCTAATCAATAAAGCAAATTTAAATGAAATAGAAGACAATTTTGGAATTTTATATATAAAATGTAAATGAATTTCAAAACCTTAGGGAAATGCTTACTTAAATTAAATTAATTTGAGTAAGCTCTTGAGACTTGTAATCATATGATTGAAAACAATCCAGAAAAAACATAAGTCATACCTCTAAAAGGTAAGATCAAAATTTATTTGCAAGGTTTGACTTTACATCATTTAAACAGGTACGAAGAAGCCATAGATTTTTTTGATATAGGAATTGAACTAAATCAAAACGATTTCAATTCCTTTTTTCATAAAGGTTTATAATTTTTGATATTTCCTTAAAGGGTAGACTTTACTTGTATTGAAAAAATAAGAAGAAGCTATCAAATGTTTTGAAAGAGCAATTGAAATAGATCCTGAAAATGAACATTCATACTTTTTATTAGGTATTCAAAATATCTCATCTTAGGAAATGCATTAAAGAAATTAGGTTAATTCCATTAAGCAGTCCAAAATTACAACACAGCAATAAATATAAATCCATAACATTAGATAGCCTTCACCTTCAAATGTAAATTTTAGTTTTTATTTAATAGCTCAATGTCTAATAGAATTAAAAGTATATGAAGAAGCAATTAAAGCCGCAGATGCTGCAATATTAATCAATCCAAATAATCCAATGGCTCAATATATTAAAGGTTACATTTTTTAATACCCTAAGGTCTCGGATTACTTAAAGTAGAGGCTTTCAAAGAAGCACTTGATTGCTTTGAGAAAGCAATCATGATAGAAGATACTATGCATGAAGCCCATGCCTCGAAAGGTTATTATCTTTATTATTTTTTAGGAGAAACACTTCATAAAATGAACAAATTTATTGCTGCTGTGGCATCCTATGATTTAGCCCTCTAATTATCCCCTGATCCACAATATATGCTTAAAAAAGGTATTTCATTTTTTAATATTTAAAGCTGAGTCTTTACGAGCTCTGGAGAAAATTGAAGAAGCAGATATATTATAAAGTTAAGCACAATAACGCATAGATCAACAAGAGCAATCTAAAAATTAAGACATAAAAGAATAATAATAAATTTGATTTGAGTTAATTTTATATAAATTATTATTAATATAATCTATTTCAATTTAAAAATAAAGAAACATAATGAATAGTAATAGAGTCCTAGTAAATTTATTCATGATTATTTTTAGATTAGAAAGAGGTTTCTTCATATATATGAAATAAATAATTAATTTTATTATCTAACTTTTGTCTAACCTTATTTTAAATGTTTTAATTTTAAGATCAATATAAATATAATAAGTTTTAAACAGTGAAACCTGATTTATAAATAGAATGAATGCCTATCCAAACACCTTCATTAAGATTTAATTACATAAAGAAACATTTTTGGTGTTCAGCGTATTTCTAGCTAACCTAACTCAATAGTATAAAATGATTTTAATATTTTAATAAGGATAATTAGATAGGAATCTTAATATAAATTACTATGGTAAACCCATCCCAAATTATTATTCTGAATGATTAATCTACCATTTATAACAAAATTTACAGATAAATCTGTCTATCAAGATTTAGATTATATTTGGAATCAATAGGAATCATTTTTTTTTATGGAGTAAGTGTAATATTTAATTATCCTTCTAATAATTTAATTCTTTCTGATTTCAATCAGTGTTTTTAACTTTCTTTGCCATCATAGATCTATTATTTATCACTTTCTTAAACCTCTACGTCAATCTGACATAATAATTGCTTATTTATCAATTCATTGAACTTTATTTTGATATCAGCAGTTAAAAAAATAATATCTTTTAGCAAATATTATCTTCTCTCAATAAAAATTTAGAGGCGAAATTTAATCTATTCAAAGATATACTCAAGAATTAATTTTTAAGGATAAGTTTAAGGAATATGAATCTAATTAACAAAAATAACTTATTTATGTTTCATAAATTGATGCCAGAAGATTCGCTTTAACAAGTGGAAATTTCAGATTCAAATCAGGAGATTTGATCAAGAAATGTTATCAATATTTTTTAATTTATGAACATGGGTTTTAATGTAGATTATCTTACACTAAAGATTATTAATTTAATACAATTTCCACACTCTACAAGAATTAGATATATTCGATCTATTGCTATCTACAACTTAAAATAAAAACTTTGAATATTTTAAATTGTTTATGGGTTAAAATTTGAAATAAAAATATTAAAAAATGGAAAGCTATCAATCATTAAAAAGTGCTCTTGCAAAAACTTGTATAATCTAAAAAATTAATTAAAAAGAAATCAATATTGATGTAATCAATAGAAACGTCTGCATAAGGGCAAAATGTTTAATTTAACTTTTTTTTTCAAATAAATTTTAATGAATAGACAATATTCAGTAGAATTTTTAATCAAGTAAAGTAAGTAATCTTATTTTTAAAAATAATATAGAAAATTGAGGAGAATGTTATCTCTTATCCTATTTTTAGGTAATCAACTATACTTCCAATTTTCACAAATGTTGATTGGAAAATTTAAACAAATTATGTTATTTTTAATTTGGCTATTTCTCTAATAAATAGAGATCTAAATTAATTGTAAAATAGGTATCCCAAAAATAGTTGACTAATATGAAATAAAAGTTTATTGTGATAATACTAATATATATCTTTGGATGTTATCCTTTAACATAATTTCAAAATAAAAATGTTGTTTCTATACAAGATTTTATGATCTCATCATTATTATGATAGTTCTCAAAGTTCATTTTACTTCTAAATTATTTATTAAATTAATTTGAGTGAGCTCTAAATAAGAA